ATTTTAAATGTAGCTTCAGCATCTGCAAGTGGCGGCCAACACCTTCACCGGTTTTGCAAGAATTAACGATTATCGTGTTAAGTTTCCTGAGGGAAGAGACTAGAATTAACCCTCTTGAAGCTATCTATTCTGCTGCTGCAGCTTTTTTAAGCATAGAATTTCTTGCTGTAAAAAAAGACACGTGCCTAATGCTAAAGCTGCAGTGCCCAATGTTTTATATCCCTGTTTATTTTGCAGTGTCATTCAAGCTTCAGTGCTGACTGGGCCAAGTAGTCTTAATAATAACTGTTTAATAACATTAGGCCAGCTTCTCATGAAGCTTCCACATGAAAAATCCACTGCTGGCAGATTGAGGAGGGAAGAGGTTCAGATAAAAATCCTCCCTTTTGCATGGACATCTTTAGGATTGTTTTTAGACCTAAACTTGTAAAGAATATAGCTTTCACCCACAGATGGCAATGAACACAATCTATGCCTTCCCAAAGATAGAAAACTACATATTTAGACTCAAAGAAATGCCAACATACAGCTTGCGGAAGGGGATCTAGTTTATGTCGAAACAGTATAATCAATTTGGCATGAAAAAAGTGAGAGTCAGATCAGTATCTACCCATTCATCAGGCTCCTGAGAACCAGGAGAGTGCAGACTCTGAGAAGAAAACTGCCTCATCCTAATAAGGCAGAGCTGTTTGCTAGAGACATAGCCCGGATGCCTTCTATATGAACTAATGCAAGCCATCAGGAGAGCTGCTTCTGTGCGGCTGAGGAGCAGTATCATCTTTCCATCAGTAACAAAGTAGGATCGTCTTTGCAGGATTATTTGTGCTGAGTTGCACACAAACGCTTTGCTCATATGCGTGCTGCATGAAAATCTCATGTTACAAGAAAAGCCTTCTTCCTGGTGTCCTGGGTTACCCTCTGCATCTCCTTCAATATGAAAGCACAGTAAGGGAAAAAAAAAAAAGCAGCCATCATGACTGAATAGTAAGCATTTTTTTCTGCACAGGGAATATAAAATTATAGCAAATATTTGAGTTACTTTTGACTCTGCAGTAAAATGATGTTGCTTCTTAGTTTGACTTGTCAGGCCCTTCCTTTGTTTAGATTTAACCTTATATGACTGAATCCTTTAGAAATAATAGCTGTGCTTCGAAACAGAATCAACAGCTCAGAAGAAGAGCATCTATCCAAACAGCCATGCTTCTGCCTATTGCTGAGTGGAGGTAGCAGGGTGTCCACTGAGGTAGGAGCTGCTGCTCACATATTTTGAAGAAATGCCTTTATTTCTTGATGTATTTATAACATTCATATCCAGCACTTTAATGCATTTCAGGGAGAGCCATATCTCCCTGCTGACGTCAAGAGAAGCAGCTGAAAACAGGCCAATAACAGCTTCTGGGTTTTAAAGCAGGCTCTGTGGCTGTGCAGGAAGGAGGAGATTTCTTGTTACAAACACAAATAAGAAAAAAGTCATTTACAAAGAAGAAAGTAAATCATGACAAAATTATTCATGTTTTGCTGTAGCTCTTCCATTCTGTTGCCAAAAAATGATCCTTCCTACAGCAAGATTTCCATCTGAATTATTAGGAGATTTGCTTGATTGAGGACTGCAAGATGTGGCTTTTGCACCAGAACTTCATTTTGGCCTATTAGCATTGTAGGCTTTTCGAATTCAATCAGAAATACCCAGTATGTTAAAATGAAAATGAACATTTGGCTACATCTACCAAATCTCACTGTTTTCTCTCAATAATTATAAACACCTACCCAAAACACAGAGACATTTCATACTTTTGCAAAGAACCTTTTCCCACTGCCTGCAATAATCAAGTATGGCTCCATTGGCTTCCTAATCCCGCTCCATGCCCACCTTCCAGATTTCTTCCTGGAAGAGGGTATTAGTGGCTTTACAGAGAACAAGAAATTGTGGTGAGGGTAGGAGAACACGCTGTGGTGCTCTTGGGTAAATAAATAGTGTGATTGAAAAGATTTTGTTTAAACAGAGTTGTGTATCTCTGAGCAGAAGAAAGCACAAGCTTATTCAACTTGCATTTTTATGAGGTGGTTTGCTTATCATCATTGGGGCTCCCTAAAGTTTGGCTACAATTAATTCTCAGTTTGGAGGAGATTCTCTCATTTGCTCACCAATTATTCAGGAAATGAAGGCAGCCCTGACATTCACATGCAAAGAGCCTCCACTACAAACATGCTGGTTACTATAAGCAGCTCCTTTAATAGTAAAAATACAACATACATAAGAGGTGCACTAGACCGAGCACCTCTACAGCTAATAACGCAGAAAAGAAGTGCAATTATGAAAGGGTCTTTAAAAAACCCTTCTAATGAATGTATATACACAATTCAAGGAAAATTATGATGGGTACCTATGATGTGCCATCTCCTACAGACATGCATTGTCTCTACCAACAAACCACACATCAAACTCTACCCGTGACAGGAAAGAAGCTGGGTCTGACTAGGATCTACACTTTACTTACAAAGCTTCCTATTTCACTTGCAATTTTTTAATAACTAGTTACGTGGTTTCAACAGTGGCAACTTCCTTGCATGAGTTATGGTTGCCAGTTCAAATTCCCATATTTGAGTAAATGGACAGACTCAGTTATTTGGTCATGGAGCAGTCCATCTCCATTGGAGCAACAGAGAGAGGGATCACAGTACACCCTGCAAAGAGATCAAAGTGTGAGCAAGTGTAGGCCACTCGTGTGGCAGAGCACCACTGAAGCATTGTCAAGGTGCTCTGCCAAGTCCTTATAGATTACTCAGTACAGAAACCCACCTGAAATTTGACTGGCATCTTCTACAGGTCAAAAAAAGAATCATAGAATCATAGAATAGTTAGGGTTGGAAAGGACCTTAAGATCATCTAGTTCCAACCCCCCTGCCATGGGCAGGGACACCTCACACTAAACCATGTCACCCAAGGCTTTGTCCAACCTGGCCTTGAACACCGCCAGGGATGGAGCATTCACAGCTTCCCTGGGCAACCCATTCCAGTGCCTCACCACCCTCACAGTAAAGAACTTCTTCCTTATATCTAACCTGAACTTCCCCTGTTTAAATTTGAACCCATTACCCCTTGTGCTATCACTGCAGTCCCTAATGAAGAGTCCCTCCCCAGCATCTTTATAGGCCCCCTTCAGATACTGGAAGGCTGCTATGAGGTCTCCACGCAGCCTCCTCTTCTCCAAGCTAAACAGCCCCAACTTTCTCAGCTTATCTTCATAAGGGAGGTGCTCCAGTCCCTTGATCATCCTCGTGGCCCTTCTCTGGACTTGTTCCAACAGTTCCATGTCCTTTTTATGTTGAGGACACCAGAACTGCACACAATACTCCAGGTGAGGTCTCACAAGAGCAGAGTAGAGGGGCAGGATCACCTCCTTCGACCTGCTGGTCACGCTCCTTTTGATGCAGCCCAGGATACGGTTGGCTTTCTGAGCTGCAAGCACACACTGCCGGCTCTTGTTCATTTTGTTGTCAACCAACACTTTCAAGTCCTTCTCCTCAGGGCTGCTTCTGAAAAGAAGTTTCACCTCTCTGTCCCAAGCAGACAAGACAAGGACAAACACTGAGACATCAGCATTTCACATGAGACAGAAATTGCCATTTACGGCCACCTCTGCATTTTTCTCCTTTGGATAAAGGATTTCACTCCTCTACACCAGAACCTCTCAGCACACATGAAACAATAGTGATGTATCCAAGCATAGTTACTCAGCACTGCGTACCCGAGTACCTACAGCTGAGCGAGGTATTTGCTTGCTAAGCCAAATTTGGAGCCTTGTTCTCCTTACCCTAAAGAAATGCTCTGTCATTATTCCACTGCTTACCGCCACAGAAAGCCTGGTGACTCAGAAGTGCCCACTCTTGGGCAAAAAAACATGAAAGAAAGACATTAGAAAACAGAGGTACAAGAAAAGAAACCTCCTTAAAACCAGGAAAGGTCATTTTTAAATGTTTATTTTGAAGTTGGCTTGCCATAGAGGAAAACTTCTTTCCTCTTCCTCCATGTGGGTTGAGTTCTTTAAGCATGCTCTGAGTCCAGACTGTGGTTGGGAGGGAGCTCACTCATCTTTAACGTAATGTAGGTTTACTAGACAGAGCTTCTGCATTCTGGTTGAGAAATAGTTCCCTCATTTCACTGCTCTCTTCACTCCCTTAAGTTTCTCTCTGCTCTTGCCATGGCAGTGTGATGAGAGAACAGTGACTCCAGTCCCAAGCAATCATTCTGAGTATGTATTTCAACATTGTTGTGGTTAATTAACTTGTCAGATAGCAATCTAGGAGCAGTTGAATATATAGGTCCCTCAGGCATGCTGCATATTTTATCCTCACCGTATCACTAATTATAACCATAGTTGTGATTAGAATGCTGAGATTCACACTTTTACACCTCGCTCTTTCTTTGCCAATCCTAAGTTTCATTTCAGCCTTCTCTCTCTGGCTCCAGCAGCAAAGAAAACAGGCATTGGTGATGGGGAATGCCTGCCAATGCAGCAGAGGCGAGCCAATGCTGATCCTGCTTCCAGTAACATGTCCTGGCTGAGCATGTCCAGACTAAAAAGTCATTACAGCCAAACTTACACATCCTCAGAAGCAGCTAGTATCACTAAGTACTGAAATGAACAATACTGTCATCAGAAGCTTCTTGAACAGACAACCTTTAGATTAATGGGGAAATTGGAAAATGGTATAAAACTAGCTTTTCCTTATACTGGAGGGCATTTCTTATGCTTAGTTGCACTAATAATACCTAACCCCTTGAAATGCTCCTCCTTTCAGAGAAACATTGGGGTCCTTGCAAAGGGGAATTCAGACCAACAGACACAGGGGGTGCATGTGTGTGAGGAATGGAAAAGAGAAAAAAAGATACAAGGAACATCAAGAATGACTTATGCAAGATTCAAGTACCTGATCACAGGCTCCCTTTGCTTGGTTGCCTCCTAGCACTGGAAAGAAGTCAGTTTGACAGATACTTCTTCCATTTCGCAATGCTCAGGTGCCCTGACCTGCATCACTTTGTACATCGAGAACTGTCTCAGCTCAGACAGAGCAGAGAAGCTCAGCATCCAGTTCTGCTTCAACCTGCTCTACGCCCAGACAGATACCATGGTGGTGCTTGTCTGCCAGGTGCAGACAGATACCATGATGTCTTGTAGAACAGAGGATGAGGTAGGGTCCTCTTAATTCATTACAAGTCTGATGCTTGCTGCTTCTGTCTAGGGGCACGAAAGCTGTGATTCTGAGCAGGATGTCTGTCACTAGGTGACAGGTTTATCCTCCCTGAAGCAATACTCCTCATCCCACCTTCTGAAGCCTTGACACTGTTCAGGGAAGCACTTGCCATACTCAGGGCACTCCAGTGCAAGCAGAGAATTCTGGTTACTGTCTCTGCTGCCAGAAATGCTTGCATATATTACTGTTTAATTGCCAAACACAACTCATCTTAGGGGCAGGAACCACAGCTCACAACTCCCCCTTCCTCACAAGTGCCCTAAGCATTAGCTTACAGTCCTGCAGCTTTTTTGTTTCTTTGTATTCATGCTTTTAATTAATTTTGGTTTGGTGGCACACATTCAAGAGGAGAGGGGAAGGGTGTTCTTTCAGGATAAGCGGTTGCCTTGAAAATAGGACGTGTGGATTTGAATTCTCTCAGATTGAGAAAGGAACTGAATGTAAATCTCCTGCTTTCTATGCACAGGCTGTAACCACCCACTGCTGGGAAAGGTGCACACCTGACACACCCAGCAAGCCATACCCAGCTCCTTGAAGGAATGCACCTTGGAAGCGTCCCCAGGGCAGAGCCAGGACCAAGTTCCAGCAGGAAGGCTTCTCCCTGAAGCTTGAAGTAGGACATTTCACTTAGGTAATTATTTGGGCAACTTCTTGCTGAGCATATAGACTTGGCACAACCCTTTCCTCGGTCTTTTTGACTGCTAGACTCAAATGTTAGGGAAAAAAAAATAAGTGATTTTGTCTAACAATCACTATGATCAAACTGGTGCTTTCTGGATTGAGCCAACATGTACAAGCACTACACTGACCTTACAGCTCGGGTAAAATGGTCTCATACTTGATTCAGCTACTTGTTTGGCTGAAAAGCACTTTCCTCCCTGTCGTGGTTTAAGCCCAGCTGCCACACAGCTGCTCTCTCACTTCCCCCCTTCCTCCCCACCCCACTTCTGGAAGGATGGAAAGGAGAATTGAAAGAATGTAACTCCCACGGGTTGAGATAAGAACAGTCCAGTAACTAAGGTATAACACAAATCACTGCTGCTGCCACCAATAATAATAGTGATAAGGGACATAAATAACAAGGGAAGAGAATACAACCGCTCACCACCTGCCAACCGATACCCAGCCCAACCCGAGCAGTGATCTAGCCCTTCTGGGTAACTGCCCCCAGTTTATATAGTGGGCATGACGTGCTGTGGTATGGAATATCTCTTTGGTCAGTTTGGGTCAGGTGTTCTGAGTCTGCTTCCTCCCAGCTTCCCCTCCTCCCTGGCAGAGCATGAGACTCACAAAGTCCTTGGCCAAACCAAAACATTACTGAGCAACAACTAAAAATTTCGGTGTTATCAGCACTGTTCCCAGGCTGAAAGTCAAAACCACAGCGCTGCACCAGCTACTAAGAAGGAAAAAAATTACTGCTACTGCTGAACCCAGGACACCCCCATAACTTCTTTTCATGCAATGTTGGCACCAGGTCTGGGTTACTCAGAGCTCATCAAACTGCCAAAAAGCTGGCTGAGGGCATGATCTTTCTGCAAAAATGTCAAGCGATATTCACAAAGTGGGCTTAGATCATGTGCTGAGTCTCGTAGGCTACTGTGAAGGTCTCAAATGATGACCACTTCAGGCATCCATAGCAAAGGCCTAGGAGCTGGAGAGGCTGTGACCCTGCCAGTCCTTTAAAGCCAACAGCCCTGTGTGCCAAACATCAAAAGAATCTGAAATAAGTTACCATGTTACATCATGTTGATTCAACACAAATACACATATTTTCACTTCAGCTTTTCCTGTGCTTTGAGAAAAGTGCAACCAAAAGACCCCAAAACAAACTATGAAATGGAGTATGCCCAAACGCCTCCTACGTTTTGCTACTTTCAGTTGATTTACACTAACAGGATTTTTAGAAGTTCAACCTACCACCACTGTCCTGCAATAATTACTCAGACTGTGGTTACATACACAGCCTTATTTTCCTTCTCGGCCCAGAGTGAATGATTCAGCATTGCGTGTTTCATAGTCTGAGTCATAAATGTTGAAATTGATTACACAGAGGAATTGGAGCAGTCTTTCACTTTGCTTGCTTAAAGATCTACTGAAATTCATTGAGACATTTACAGTTCCCATGAAACTTGGGCTTCTAACTTGAAGCTTTTTATTTTTTACCACCCACTGTCAGGACAGCAGCTCCAAGGCTGCAATACATGTTCAGAAACCGCAAGAACACTGAAAACCCCTGGTATTTAATGAGGGGGAGTATGTGATGAACAGTGCTTAAGCTGGCTTTCTTCTAGCAGTAAACAGGTATTACCAGAACACAGGCATATGCTAATCCTCAGTGCTGCGTAACCCCAGCGAGAGCCCCCGTTCCTTTGCCTACAAAGAATTTTAGTATTTAATAAAGTTTCTGTTTACTGAAATTACCTCCTTTAGCTCTCCAGCACCTCTGGGTAGCAGAATAATGCAGTTAGAGCCCCCCAACCCTTTCTGTTCCAGGATGAACAAACCCACCACCCCCTTAGCTCTTCTTTTGTTGTATGCTCAGCCTCCTCCTCAGTCCCCCCATTTTAATGGCTCACCATTGAATTAACCTATTTGTCAATAACTGCACTTGATTAAAACAACGTGCTGGTCTTGCTATTGGAAGTAAGCCCAAATACATGAGAGTGCAGGATGAAAGACAATATAGCGTGTTGGTTTTGGCTTTTGATTGTTTGTTTGGTTTGGGTTGTTTTTTAATTATTTTATTTATTTTTATTTAATTTATTTTTATTTTAAAGGTGGGATTTTGTTTCTCGCATATGGAACCAGTTGTGGTCAACTCAGCAAGAGTCATTTGTTCCTCTGTTGAAGTCTGTACAGAGCTGGAGTAAATCTACTACAGGAAATGCAGCAAAGCCAGGGTTATTTGTTCTTCATACACGTGTAACTGACTTGATCCCTCTACACCAAATCCAATGCCAAAGCAGATTAATGTTTGCTATTTTGGAACAGAGATCTGGAGTGATACTTTTCTCACTTCCCTTTAACAGCCTCAGGACAGGAGCTAGCTACTATCTAGCTAGCGTGTAACAGAAAGGGCGCAGCTCAAGGCAATGTGGCTAGTGTAAGAAGAGCGCTAGCAATACCTACTTCAAATTCTGAATATGCTGCCAGTGGAAGATGTTAGGAATTTATAAACACGGTGGCCATTTAATGGTTGTGGTACATTAGATACAGTAGTGCAGATCTTCATCCATCTGCAAGTACTGTGCAAATGTTTTATGCAATACTTAATTATTTTCTTTTCTTCTGCAAGCTGATGGGCACTGAAATGGAGGCTTTGGGGCAGACCAAAGGAGCTGATGGATCAACCTCAGCAGCCTGCTCATTACACTTCCTACATGACCAGGACTGGGCAGGATTTTCTGCACAGCATGTTCCTGTTCCCCAGCCTCACAAGGCAAATTAAAGTACATCCAATTAAGACACAGAGGAAGCTTCAGCTAGAAGGAAATAACCTAATTTGTATTTCACTAGGACATGAGGGTGATACATCCATCTTTATTAAAGCAAACAGAAAAAGGATAACAATGCTCTACAGTCCAGGGCCACAACACAACCCTTACTGTAAATAGAGGGTTTAAATATTATTCTTAGAAGGATCATCTTTTAAAGAGTTGCCAGAACCCTCACTGTCCAGTACTAATGTCCTCTGACATGTGGGCAGTTGTATTTGTTTAAATGATTTGGGTTTGTGACAACCTTTGTCCCCAGTGAAGGGTCATCCCCAACACACCCCATTATAGTTTGCTGTGCGTATTTCACACCTTGCAATCCTTCCTTTGCTGGTCATTTTTGCAGCACTATATTTCAATACTGCTCTCATCAACTGGTTTCCTGTCATAACCTTAGGAATCATATAATTGTTTAGGTTGGAAGACATTTAAGATCACCAAGTCCAACTGCAAACCTAACACTGCCAAGTCCAGCACTAACCATGTCTCTGCATGCATCTACATGTCTTTTAACCACCTCCAGGGAAGGTGACTCCACCACTTCCCTGGGCAGCCTGTTCCAATGCTTGACAACCCTTTTGGTGAAGGAATTTTTTCCAATATCCAATCTAAACTTTCCCTGGTGCAGCTTGAGGCTGTTTCCTCTCTCCCTGGACTGTATTCCACCATCTCCCAGTTGCAGAACAGTTTCATGAAGAGGAGCACGGATGTGAGGGAAATCAGTGCCCACCAAGAGGGAAGAGACGTGCACATGCTGATGCCTGGGCACAGCCACATCACTTGGTCCTTCCCAGTGCTGTGTAGTTGCTCAGCAAAGCAGTAGGGCTTGCTTTGCTTACTGCATGCATTTTCAAAAGAGGACTACTACTGCTGTTAGAGATGTCTATACCACACAGCAGGGTGGGAAGGGATTTGCAGTGAAAGTGAGTAACACTGTTGTAAACCTTTTATAACTTCCCGCCTAAGGCCTCAAAGCATTTCCCAGCTGCTACTGTAGTCGCAGGAGCTCCCCAGAACATGGCATTCCTGAGCACGGGGGCTCCCACAGCATACCCAGAGTGGCTGCTCACCCCTATGACATCTTAATGTGAACTCCTTTCTGGTGCTGAGATGTTTTGGTTTTAGCTCTGGCCGGGAACATTTTGGTTGCATCAGTGCAGAGCTATTCTGTTCCATGGGCAGCCTCCCAGACTAATGCATGAGATTTAAAAGCTTACTTAGTAAATATCAGATTTCATATTGTTTTAGCTACCATTTCCCACCCCAGTTCCAGGGCCAAGCACAAAAGCAAGGATGTAACTTTGCATCCAATTGCTGCCAGTCTCCTCTCCCACCCTTCCCTCTCCCAGAGTTTCCAAACAGCAATCATTATCACTTCCCCAGCAGTCACTCTAACCTCACATCATCATAAAGCCAAGCGAGGCCATGGCATCTCTTCAGGAACACAAGAGAAAATGAGACCCAAGACATCCACGAACTAGCAGTAGAAGGTAGAAACTATTTCAGTCTGCTCCTGGGTTTAAAGAGCCAGCTGCCCGGACAAAAGACTATTGAAAATGTCCTCCACAAAGACCCACAGCAAATGAGAAAGGTCAGTGGTGGCAAAGCTGCTAAAGAGACACTAACCGTAGCTAATTAAATGGGCTGCTGCCTAGCAGTCTGAAACCCAAGCATTTGTCTGAGATAGTTTAATTTTAATTCTCTGAGACTTTGCCAGCCTTGCGTACTTTGCTGATGTAGTTCCTATAAGACAAAGATGTTTCTTTTCCTTTCTGTCATTATTCATACCTTGAATGCAACACTGTGTTCTCCTTTAGGTCTTTTTTTTCTAGGAAAAGTAGGTGAAGGTAGGTAAAGGATAGAACTGCAAAACCTCACCTACCGGCCATTAGTGGACACTTATGAATATAATTTGCAGGTGCACAAACATTTCAGTGCAAATTTTTTCATTAGGAAATGTTTTAGCATTTGAAATGGCCACTTCCAACATTTTCCTGATTGATTTTTCAGTTCAAAATTAAGCAAGATTCCTGTTAGGGCCATTTTAGCTTGCCGTCTCCAAGTCAGCATGTCTCCCCTTTCTAGCATGTCTCTGTTCGTTCCCTGCTGCAGATAAACTGGGGGATTTGCGTGCTATTTTCTCAGTGACTCATTTTCCAAATATGGCCATTTAACAAATATTATTTCTGCAGGCAGCCATCCCCTTCAGATCCTTTATAAAGGAAATTACTCAATCAATAAAGTTAATTTTCACTCCCCCCTGAAGCAGCCACCTACCCCAGCAGATGTTCAGAAACAGGCTAGAACAAAGCCGGAAACCTCCTCAGATCCAAGCATCTCTTGCCAAAGTCCTCCTGCAGCTAAGGTTGAAATTAATACTTTTTCTATAATAGGAAGCAGTGCAGAGAGCAAGACCATGTTCTGCTGCTTTAATTATTGAACAAAATTTAACAGCAGTAATGAGCTCTGGTCCATTCTCACTATGCTTTGAGTCAACCCACTTCCACTATAGATAGTGTTTTCATGTTGAAACAAATTCAAAGGTGACATTAACCCTAACTAGGTGTCTGTGCACAGCACAAATTACCACAGTTCTGAAATCAGTCCAGTGGGACAGAGGAGCTGGTCTCATTGCCCTGTTTCATCCCAGGAGGAGGTCCATACTGGAAAGAGAGGAAAGCCTTACCTGAAGATCCTGAGGAAATCTTGGAGCCACGTTACTTCAGCTTCGGTGTGGATGTCACTGGGGACACCCTCAAAACTTCTTGAGTAGGGTCTGTTTTTGCAAACCTGCAACCTGTGGCAAGTAACACACAATAGCATTAACCACAGGAGGAAAATACAGAACAACAGTCTTTCTACATCTCTTTTGTTTACAATAAGAAAACCAAGGTTCAGTATCACATACACTAAAAACATGATCTTGGGATCTAATTAATCTGCTTTACATGAATATGATGTTCAGGAGCAAGTCCAGAATTAAGCTAAGAAAGCTTAGAATTAGGTTGTTCTCCAGAAGGTTCTTACCTGGTCCTTGCCACATGCAATCTCCCTGATCCCAACATGCTGGTAAAGTGAGCACAGAAGTTATCCCCAGTTTGAACATCCTTGGGAATGTTCATCACACTGGGGTAGAAGGGGCACTAACACCCTTAAGCAGGATCTAGTGAGTGCATTAGCTGGCCTTAGATAAAGTTTGGAACAAGACAGGAAAATGAAGGTTTAAATTTAAAATTTAATTAAAAATGTAAAAAAAAAATAGAGTAGTTCTCAGGCATAATATCAAGACACTAACAACTGAAGCAGGCCTCCAGAGAGGCAGGGGGCATGGCACGGAGGGAAATAAAAAGGAAAAAACATCACTCAGTTATGGAAAAGGGGGTTTTGTGATTTCTTGAGTGAAATAAATATTATGAAGTGACTCAGAAGTGCAGTACCAATGTAGAGCATGATGTAAGAGAGGTGTAAAAGACCTGGGACCAATGATTATAAGCCTTTGATACGAAGCTAAAACCAAAGTAAAAATACTGTGAATGCTTTGGTGTTATGCTAATAAGGAAGGAGCAATTGAGTGCTAGGACAGCTTTGCATTTAGTCCTTAGCATCTGCATGTACCTGTGAGTGCTGGCTTTTCCATCCTCCTGACATAACCAGCACGAGGAGAAACAGTTGCAAAGAAATAAACCACTGCAATTTCAAGCAGAGCTGTTGCTATTAAAAGGGCAAAGACATTTTAACGACGATCACAGTAAAATCTTCTGTAAGATGTGCTAAGTCAGTATCTCATTTGATCCAACCTGAAAGGATAGAAACTGGTAACCCAATGCAGCTGGCTTCTCAGGCGGGACTTCTGGTGCTGAGGGCAAATAGAATAGTCACAGTTGCTGGTAAATCAATGGCAAAAGCTCATGGCTCCACAAGATCACTGACTGCTTGAGTTGAATTGGTAACAAGAAATCATGAGCAAAATCCTTCCACGATTTAAATAAATGTCTGTGATGTGTCATACGTAATGAGTATAAAATGTGGAGGTCCGCCACATTCCTACCAACAGCTTCTGAAATGAGTAACTCTTTGCTTATTGCAGAGTGCCAGGTCAATTTACCTTAGTTTTTCTACACAGCATGAATGCTATCAGAAGAGTCCTGCTCCAGCTGCATCACCTGTTGAAAATAATAGAACCTGGAGATTAAGGATGCCTTTAGAAATCTTTACCACATAAGAGAGCTGGAGCTGCAGTGGTGTTTGGTGTGTCATGACGGCTGGGTCAGCAGCCACTCTGTTTGACTAATACCAAGCTCCTAAAGGTCAGGGCTGATGACAGACTGCACACAGATGGAACTTCCAAACCTTAAGATAACTCTCTACACCTCCTCCCAGCTAGAACAGCTGATCTACAGCAGCTGTCTCCTGCATTTAAGCTCAGTTTTTGCCTAACCACTACAAAGGTACTATTTACAGTTAAAAATCCTGACTTGGACATGTCTGAGACAAAGGAGTGGCTGCCATGGACAGATCGTTAACAGCAGTAAATTCTATGCTAACAGCTTCAGGCTCAACTATTCCTTTGTACAGGAAGAAGGACAGATATTAATGCACATGGAGAACATCTATAAAACCCCTAACAAGCTCCTTTTTATTTTTATTCAGCTTTTCTTGGCTTGCACTGTCATGTAAAATCCAATGAGTTGCTTTTTAAATCTTCCGTAGTTTTTCTATTTAATTAGACATTTTCCAGTCACAGAATCCTCTTTCTTTTGCTGCTGCCATATTTGCAGTTTCTCCATGCTGCTGAAGGACTTGGTGCTAAGGGAGGAGCTTTGCCTTCTGGCCTTCCAGTATTGAGTTTTACCATTAAATTTAGGGCTTTTGGGAAATCGGCAAAAACTAATTTTTCTTTGAATGCAAAGAACAAACTCTCCATATGCATTCCACCCTTGAGAAAAGCACTTGGTGTGGGTGAAAGCTAAACAAGTATGGACAGCCACGGAGGAACTTTTCCTCCCATTCCTTGGGATTTATTCTTTTGCCCTATGTCTCAGTCTGGAACCTGGGCCTTGCATACATCCCCACTGTTCTGCTGATAGCACTGAGCTGTGTTGCTGCTCTCCATTCTTACTCAGAACCACTTCAGCATAGGGGCATTGCTGATTATTTGTGGAAGTCAGGGAAAATCTTTCCACCTCCCTTTGTGAATTTGGTAGAAGCAAGACTGGAGCATCTAAAATGCTGCTTGGAAGGAATCTATGTCACTTTGAGCATTCTTAATGCAACCTTCATGGGTCATCACTCACCAAAGCTGGATATTTTCTCTTCTAAATATTACTGACGCATGAAGAGATACAAATTCAGTTCACCTTCAGTTCCTCAAATTAGAAATGTGTATGTGCCTTGTGGTCTGTTGCATTAGAGGTGTTTGTACCTGTAGGCTTTTAGAGATGTGTATAATTGATTCCGTACTGAAGTGGAAAAAACACATTTGACTTACAGAGTAAATGGAAACAATCATCAGCCTCTGTGGAGACCATGTTTAGATAAGTTCTCTCTGCAGCAGACTACAACTATGCTTTTGCTCTTGGGACATGGTATCTTTCCTTAGAAGCTATTAATAGCACGAAGTACTATCTACTGCTTACCTTCTCACAAAAATGTTTTATCTTCACAACTGTGCACTCCTTAACATGTTATTTTCTACCACTACCATTCCAAAATAAATATTCTTATTTCAGGGGTTGCTTGCTGGCAAATAAAAGCAGACCAGATAATATAGCTGCTTCAAAGCTGATGGCTTTCCTTCCCATGACCTATGCTCCCAAGTATTTAGCAACAAGAAACCTGTGAATCTACAAGGTCAATTTCTTTAGTAATGCCTAATGTTGGACTGCAAACAGTAGCTGGAACTAAATCTAAGCTTCCTAATAATAAAATGTGAGTATGTTTAGAAAACATGGTCGTATCTGTCATTTATTTTAACTTCAGGCATGGCTTAGCAGCAATTAGTAAGATGGGTGATATCAAAAATGTATTTATTGGTGAGAGGTAATATACACTGAAATACAGTTTTTGATATATAACCCATGGGCAAACATTCCTTCATATGGTGCTGTGACGCTACATGTTTGGAAACTCTTGGCCTGACCTGCTGCTGTGCAATCGAGAGAGCTGAGAACTGTGAGATCTGAAGACTGAATTTCTCACAGGCTATTCAACTTTGATTTTAGCCAGTCTCCTCCTGTGACTAGCAGAAGATGACATCAGAATAAAGAAAATTAGTATATAGCCCTCTCCCTTAGAAAGATCAGGTAGTCTTTACCACCACATCCACCCCCTGCTCAAAATTCAGCAGTGATTATGAGGAACTTAAAAGAATTCAGCTTCTCTTCAGCTTCTTTAAGCAGTGATTACTGTAGTTTCCCAATGTTGGGAAATGAGCCTGTATTAAGACTCGTAGTGGTGGAGCATTTTGCTCTGTGTTTCCTGATGAAACAATTTTTTTTACTCCTAAGAATTTGTCTGCCATAGAACAGATCTTGGCCAGGAGCTGCAGGCAGAAATAAGAGCGATTGCAGATGGTAAGCAGCTCACCCTGCAGTCACTGAAAGGGTTTTTCTGGGTACTTTTCTCCAGTCAGGGGACAGACCTGAATTGATTTAGAATTCTGATTTCACATTACTGTTACCTTGAAAACTTATCTTTCAGTTGCAGCTGTATTATTTTCTTGTGCTAAGTTGCTCTATTTTACTTTCACCTATGGCCACGTTGCCATGGCAAAGTCACTCCTGCATGTGTATGTTTTAAATACATAACCAGCAAAGCACTGTGGATTCCTTTGACAGCTATTACCTGTGCAGATCCATGCCTTTTCTTTTCCCCTCTTGTTCCATGGATTTTCATTACTACAGAACAACCTGACCTGAACATTTGCAGAAAGAGAAAGGGCCTAGAAGAAGTCAGTGAAACTGCTGTTTAACATCATAAAGCAATTAACACTGGAGATGAAGAAAGGATAGAGTACAGGTGCTAGTCTGGATCCTGTTTGCCTCCAAGGGGTAACCATTGCAAGTAGATCCTTTTTTCTTTCCTTAAAAATGGATTCAACTCAGAGAAAATGAATGCTGTCCAGATAGCCAATTCTGGATGCTGTACCATAGAAAATGTATGCAACTGTTTAATATATGCATTAGAAAACCTAAGACATAGTCTATACACAATATAGTCAATATAGTAGCTTTTACAATAGATAGTGGGAGATCCATTATTTTCAGCTATGATAGCACTCCTCAGATGTGCACAAGTGCCATTTTTTGCAATGATAAAATTCTTTTATGTCAAGGCTGGTGACAGTCAAATTGTTCACACAAACCACATTCAAGTTACTGTGTTCAATTTTGTAAGTCCTGCGGAATTAGGCCAGTAGACCCTTATATCAGAATAATTTATCTCTTAACATGAGTCATGCATTATCTGTCTCAGAAGAGATCATTACATCTGCTGTTCAAAGCCATTTTTCTGCTGGGAGTTATTCACAAGTAATGAGGTGGTTTACAAATTCAACATCATAAACCAGTGAAGCATAGGAGCTGCAGTGAACTTCCTGAGACCACCTTTTAGGATCTTCAGAAACCTTGAGGTCGGATGAAACACAAGGACAAGAGGAGCACCCAGTTCTCTTTATGTCCGCATCACTTTTAGTAGTTTACAGGGAGGAGCATGGAATAAAGCACATTATAGAAAGCAGTGGAGATAAAATTATACCACTTTGAGAAATATATGGGCAGAAAAACTAAGGGAAGAATACAGGCTAATACAAGATTTGCCAGTTCTACAGATGTACTAGGACATTGAAGTCTGTTGAAGCTACTGGCAGCAGAACTGGAAGTCTGCAGGGGCACTGTCACATACATCTTGTTCATCTTCAGTCACCAAAGGATGACATTAAATCCAAGGAATTTATAGTCTCCAAAACTGGTATTAAGTAAAGCTTTTCTTAAGAACAGGTTCGTTATTGTAATTATTTACCATATCTATAAATGCACTTACTGTATTTATTTGTGTACTGCACGAAAAGGACAGAGCTTCACCTATAGTTTAGAAAAGATGTACAGAGTGTTTTTGAATATAAGAGTGTTTTCTCTTCCTGTGTTAGTTTAATGGGATGGATGCCAATGCTTTTATGAATTATGAATGCAGCAGTCTTCTTTCCAAATGAGGATGTTGGAAGTCTGCCACTGGAATGAGGTGCTCGTATTACATACTGCCAGCAAATTTCTGTTTCTTTAATGAAAACTAGATTACTAAAGCACTTTTCTTTTGACAAACATTACTCTTGCCTATAATGATGTTTCATAGCATACTCTCCTCTAGAATAAAAGAGAAAAAGTAATCAGGATAGAAAACAATTTGAATCACAGTTCTAATAGGGAAATTCATATGTTGTTCCCCTAATGTAAATAGCTATTTGTATACCACCTACTTTCCTCCTTCATTAGAACATAATCCAGGTTGATGACTGATCAGGCATTTGTTACTAGTCCTATGCATGTTTTTTCCCCCCACAAGGATTCTCTTTTTAGCTACCTGAAACAAAGTAGTTATTAAAAACAATTTAAATACCAATATTTTTAATTGAAATCTTGCTGAGAAAACATTGCTCGCTATTTAGGGTCAGAATTTTGCACTTAAATACAATTCAATTTCTGTTTCATAAAGAATGTAGTAGCATTATATAGAAGCATTATGCAAAGTTTGGGTTTTTTTTCCATTGACTCTCAAGAACACTTTTAGAAGAAAGGAGAGTATTAGTCTATGACCGTTGACAAATCTGGAGTTCAAATATTCAACATAAGAAAGGGTCAAAGAAAGCCAGTGAGGTTGCACTGCTCCTGCTGCCCAGGTTACAAGGCAGCCAATGATGCCACAACTGCTCTTTGCCTATGTATCAGCAAATGGCAACACTACTAACAAATCCCATGGACAATGAGTTTCATTTATTACTAGGTACATATTGCAATATATTATATACACCTTCATTTTGTTTTCACAAGCAATTGTTAACTTTTTCGGCTAACATCAAGAAGGATCTTACAAGAGGATACACTATTTGTCTCTGGTCATTTTAATTCAATCTGCAATCCTTTCTATCATTTCCAAATGTGAACCACACCTCGGATCTCCTGTGGTGGTGCTGCAGGTTTCACAGCAGCATCTCAGATAAAAGGTATGAGTTTGTTGGGGCTGTTCAGCCTGGAGAAGAGAAGGCTGCATGGAGACCTCATAGCAGCCTTCCAGTATCTGAAGGGGGCCTATAGGGATGCTGGGGAGGGACTCTTCTTTAGGGATGTACTGATAGTACAGGGGGTAATGGGTTAAAACTTAAACAGGGGAAGTTTAGACCGGATATAAGGAGGAAGATTTTTACTGTAAGGGTGGTGAGGCACTGGAATGGGTTGCCCAGGGAAGTTGTTGAATGCTTCATCCCTGGCGGTGTTCAAGGCCAGGCTGGACAGAGCCTTGGGTGAGATGGTTTAGTGTGAGGTGTCCCTGCCCATGGCAGGGGGGTTGGAACTACATGATCTTAAGGTCCTTTCCAACCCTAACTATTCTATGATTCTATGATTCTTGAATAACAGCTCTCCCTCCACTGTTTTTCTTTGCAATAACTCAGTATATAGTATGAGGACTGCTGGTTCACACCAAGGGCTCATTTATAAGGATATCCTCTAGCTTCCAATTTGCATCCACATTACGTTACCTTAGAGTTAAAAACCCCAACAACATTGAAAAGGGTAATCAAAGATAATTGCATAGAACAATAAATACCAGTGAAACCATATTAACTCAGTAAAGCATCAAAAAGAGAGAGAGCAGAAAGGAAAAAATAAATCTGACATGATAAAACCCAGTGAAATTAAGTAAACACCCCCCCCCCCCCAAAAAAAAAAAACCTGGCAGAAGCTCTAAGGGATTGTTTAAGCACTGAAATGTACTTTAAAAATAAAAGCATCCAATACAGTTTCCCTGTGTAACACACCTGGCTGTATATTGCAAACAGGGTGCCAAATTCAGTAAACTTCAGTGTTAGGCAGGCTTTGCACCCACAAAAATCATGAAACACTCTCTATAGCATTAATGAGAACAAAACTAGGCCATGTAAGTATATTCTGATTTTTCTGTAAGGCAAAATATTACTGCATTCCATTTTCTAGTCTGCATTTCTGTCAGCTGACAGTATGCCTGCACGATTAAGATATAAAGCTAATAAATGTTTTAATTCGAATATTATTACAAACTAGAGAGAAGTCAGATAAAACCAGAGATTTTTTATTGCACAAAATAAATTATATAGAAACAATGCAACAAAACAACTCGTATTGTAGGCTGCACAACAGATGTTACAACATGAATATATTTATTGCTTTGAGAAAGGAGCAATTCAGTGCTAGTAAGCAGATTAGTTATACTTCTTGCTCATCTAGATTTTTCATAAAATTAATCCAGCTGGGCTAGAGGCATCTTGCAGCATATCGGTCAGATCAAATTGTCACTTGTTTTCCACTGTTACAAAGGTGCTGTGAACATTCTTGACATTAGCATGGATCAATTTCATGTCACCAGTACTGAGCCATACAGGTAGTTACATATTTAGAACCGTCATTACATATCAGTATAGTTATGTTCAAAACAAAAGGTCCATTTACACAGTTTGCATGAGCCGTTGTTCTAAAATAAATCTTGCTTGCAAATGTTGATGCAGCTTTGAACAGGCACACTTCACTCTACATCAAGAGGCAGGACACCCCTGACTATCAGCACTTCCCTTACCTAATTGCAAAACTGCTCACTGATGTTAACTCAGTAATAGGTGTCTCATTTTTTCCAGGGCCACACTCAGCTTCTAAGGACTGTAGCACGGACTAAAAAAAAAACAAAACAACGTCATTCCTTTGGTAGAACAGGGTGAAATTTACAGTGCTTTTGAAAAATACTTCAATCCAGAACATATTTGGTTCTTTAAAAGATATAAGGCTGCAATACTGGTATTGTACTCAGCTCATAAGGGCTTAAGTTTTTAAACGGCTACTTTGTGGACTCTGAGATGTTGACTCCCAACAACAAATAAAGAAATCAGCTCTTAACTGAAGTTAAAAAAATTGACAGTATTCAAATAATAAACCACATCAAAATCTGATCACCTGCAAATCTTTGTGAAGCATGCATATTAATGAGATAGTGCCATTACAAGTGTTGATAGTTGAGGGAAATTCTCCTCCCAATTTGACAATTAATGCAAGCTGAATTCTACTGCTAGAGTACATATTCAATGCAAACCTTATTTTCTTATGGGAAGGTTAAATCATAAGATTAAATTTCAACAATATTAGCCACCCATGAAAGGAAATTCAGTGAGGAAGTGGGAACTCTGGGTCATTCCAAGTCTCACTTACAAAGATAACTAAAGAAAGTAACTCCACTGAGGTCAGGCTGAAGAGCTTAACTCTAGTGTCAGGCCCATGGAGCAGACCCCTGTAGAATCCCACTGAAATAAGTAAACACATTTTGGATTGTATAATAATAACTACAAACAAATGTGGTGGCTACTTTTTACTGTATTTCAAGAAAATTCTTTGCTTTAATGTTTGTTTGTTGCTGTTTTTTTCCCTGAAACTGTTAATGCACTACGTTGAATCAAAATACAGCTGAGTGAGGTTGCAAACAACTGCAAAATATTACAAGAAATGAGCTATTCTGATTTTTAAAAATACTATTTGTACAAATGCTCAGAAACCTTACAGATGCAATCATGGTCCATGCATGTACCCAGCAGTAGTTTCCTTTGTAAGGAAAGTATTAAACTTGACCAATTTGGTGTAGTTTTTCCATCCGGGAAGCTGCCGTGAAATTTTGCCACAATTTTCTGAAAGTGTTTACAAGCACAATAAGATTCAACTGAATAACCAAAGATACCCTGAAACATCCATTAAAACACAAACATCACAAAAAATATTAGTATTCTTTATAATTATTATGAAGTAGAAATGTTATAAGGCAGGATGAAGCTAATATCAAAGATGAAAACCAGCACCACCGGTCTATGTTTTTCAATTAGCTTTCTGATCGGACAGCAAATATATTATCATAGTCAGATACAATTGATTAAGAAATGCATTTAGCCCAGCTGTACTAACTATACAGCTTCACACAGAATAAACATTCCATAAATCAACAGAAAATGCATTTGAGCACAAAAAATAAAAATATGTAAGTGATTCTCTAAGCAGCATTTTGTTTTCTTTTTTCCTTTTTTTTTCCAAAACATTAACATAGATAGATATTGGACTGATTAAATATCTACAAGTGCTTTTCCTTTACAAAAATACATATATTCTTAATAGTAGGATAGACTGTCATTAACAATGACCTGTGTTTTTTTCACTTCAATTTGAATGATTTATATGCTAAATTTTACAACCACAAAAAGGTTTAGTTGTAATATGATGTTACCACTTTTGACAAAAAGCTTAAAACATTTTATATTTTAAAAGAAATTAGCAACATAACATCACAATATGTTCTATGAGCTCCTAAGTACTGTGAGGGCTGCTTTATTTAAAACTGGTAACTACTGATCAAATGCAAGGAAGCATTAGAACATTATTACTGCTCACCGTAGGCTCCTTTCTTAATTGTAACTTGGATCACAGCTTATATAAGGACACTTAGGCCCCCATCCCTAAAAAAATCCATTGAGAGTAACTCTTTATCATCTCTTCAGTAGCCTGGAACATCCAACAATTCAGGCTTTGCATTAATTTTAAAAAATGCAAAATATTTTCCTTTCAATAGTTAAGTCTGCAATAAGGGAAAAAATGATGCATTGCTTCATGTTTATTCTAAGAAGCTTGTATTTGAGAAAAAAAAAATACGATCAGTAAGTTTTTAGAATGAAATACTGTAGTCAGCTAAACAATTAAACTGTCCTATTACTTTCCAGTTTAGTTAATCACTATCCTGGAAAAGGAAATAAAGACATTTGTATTTCTTCATTCTTTCTATTACACACTGCACAAGTAAAATAACCAACTTCTTGCTAATCAATAGTCTGATGTCAAGGACAGCGATGCCATTTGCTAAAAAAATATCTATAAAAATCTGTATAACATACTTAACAACTTCTCATTATCCTCCCAGTCTGTCCTTTCCACCCTCCAAAATATCACTGAACTACAACTAGAAAACCCCAAAGTAGCTTGGTGAATATTTTGTGCTTTGGAAGGTTTACAGGATTGACAGCGCACTGAAGTTTTTTGTTAGTTCACGGGCCAGGTATAGCAGACACATCAGTAATGCAAGCCTTTGTGCTTCTCACTGGGAACATGAGCTACGACTCAAAGAGCTACTCTGTTAACTCAACCTTTAGGCTACTCCTGCTGGCTTTTTTCCTTTCCTATTTTGTCCTGGAAACTGCTACGCGTGCCTAACCTTTCAGCTTGGTGACACAGGCAGCTACCACCGGTTAAGCTCTGCTTGACTGATTCCAGGTGCAACTCTAGACCACTGTATTCCAAGTCAGTTTCTGGGTGGCTTTACCTTTGGTATTAAATAGGTCCCTTAAAACTATTAGGCAATCAGATTATCCATAAAAATAGTTTATTAAAAAAAAACCCAAACTTTTTTTAACGAACAAAACTAAGTATCTGACAACAAACAGTAATTTTAAATCAATTAGTATGGGATTATTTTTCAGAAAAAAGGGAGAGTGTTTCATTTTACTGCATCAAGGTTAATGAGAGAACAGCAAAAAAGTCTACTATACTCAATGTTATACAAACCAGAATTTTAGGAGTAGAATACCATCATAAAATATATGCCTTGCACTTTGATAATAAACATCTTTACTACAAATCAATTATTAATACAAACCTCAGTATTTTGACTAGCAGCACAAATGTTTTACTGTTGCAGTAATGTTGTATAGCAACTTACTCTCAACTTGTACTTCGCTTTCCACTCACTGTCATGAAGAAAAAGGAAAATGCACAGTAACTACTTTGTTCACCTCATCCTGTCAACTGTCACATTATTAACCTTGTTAGAAGCATTTGCTAAAAATACATATAGAAGTTACTTCAAAGAAAACTACATTTAATGGTTCAGATAAACATGTGAAGTCAAAATGATGCCTCTCTTTGGTTGAAATTAATGTGATGACAAAAACTTCCACTTGCAGACATCTTTCATTCTAGACTGTTTCCTCTATCCTGTGCCTACAGAACTGGGCCTTTTACTGCAATTACAAAAGATAGCCTAGACATTTCCACCTGTCCACACAGCTCCTCCATTTCACTACTACACTCCAAAACTGTACAGATCTAAATTGTGAGCTAGAGAATGAAACAATGTCCTTACTCGATTGTAGCAGCTACCTAAATTCAGAGGATTTATGGCACATACCTTGGATGGAAGAATCTGTCAGGAATTAATTAATTAATCATTTTCTTATGCTGAAATCTGATGTTTTAATTTGCTCTACAGCCAGAGTAGATGGTAACTTAAAAAATGCACAGATCTGCTTATATATTACCATAAATATATTTATGGTAATAAATATATTACAAGATCATTTTTTGGAGGACATCCTTCCAGAAGGATGTTTCAGCTGAGGTCTGAAGGCCTGACTATCCATATATGATAAAACTAGTGGTAAATGCACAGTTGGAGGCTTTTCACATTTCCTTTAGGGTGAATCAATCCCCTTGTGTCTTGGAACACATCCTGGAACATGCTCCAGTAGACTGCAAGCACTCCTCAAAGAAGTGTCTTTAGCTGAACACCTCATGGAAGCATTAACTTGCTCAAACTAGGTAGAAAAGATTCAAACTGCAGAACTGTGAAAACTTTGCTGAAATCCGCAAGAGCTGCTTGGTGAATGAAACCTATGAGCTGACTCCTCCTGTGCAATTTCTCCTTTATAACTCCTCAGTGTTTTTACTTGGTGGGCATTAAATAGCGTGGTGTATAGGAATGGGCAAAAGATGTGTCAGAACCTAGAATTAATTACAGGACAGAGAGTGCCTGAATAGACATTTTAACTGAGATAACAATAAATTAACATAGCATGAAGTACAATGAGGGCAAATATTCTGCATGATATATGCATTTTTGATGGAAGCAGACACCTTTAACCTGGCTAGGTTAAGTGAAGAAACTGGATCAAGCTCTTGATTTAAACATCTCTGTTTATATATTCATTGTGGATAAGAATATGTGTTTTAACTGCCTTTAGTCTTTTCCAGGATAAAAATGAGTTTGATCAGTCCATGTAATTGACCAGTATTTTATGTAGCCCCTCTATAAACAGTGCTCAATCTGTTTATTTTGAGACACAGGGCTTGCTTTGAACAACGATTTGTTCTCTAGTATTTCTAGCAGGCACAGTGGCTGTCTGAGCTGGAAGCTATTCCTTATGTTGCAAGTCTTCACAAGAATATTTGTGGGGAGTGAATGCTTCTTGGTGTTTTCAGTGATATAAAAATGCAAAAAAACCCCACAAAAGGGACAATACAACTCAGCGATTGATTCAATGAAAGGACTAAACCCTGGCCTATGTTGTTATTTTAGAAAACAGCAGAGAAGGAAAAATTGTTTACTTTTCTTACAAAGTCATGTCTAACAATTATACATGGGAGAGATGAGATGGAACTCTGGACCATTGCCTTGTCTGCAGCAGGGAACAACAGCCTAGCTTATATCTAAAAGGAATATGATCAATCTCTTTTCTCCTGCAGATATACTGGAACAGTTTTTGACAACTGCAGAAGAGAAAAGTCAAGTCGAACTGTTGAAACCTACGTAGAAAAAGACAAGAGATTCAGAATTCAAGGGTTCTGCATTCAGAAAATGAAATAATTCACATAAAAAAGTAATTCTTTTCATAATAGTTTCTACTGAGAGAGGGTTTTTTGTTCAATTTTAAATTATGTTACAGAACACATTTCTTTTTCTGCTTGTTTCCCATGAAAGAAAGCTTCTCAATACAGCATGTTTATGAAATATTCTTGCTGAAACTATTCAGATCATAGATAAAATACAGAAGCAAATATTACCCTGCCAAATGCAAATAATGGGCTTAAAATGTATTAATAACCAGGCACTTTGCTTTACATAACATTTTCAGTAAAGTCAAAGTAATACTTTTTGTCTTTTTTTTTTTGCATAATAACTGCAAGCTAGCTGATTATGCACAATATAGCGCTGCATACTCCTAGGACCCAAATCGTAGAAGCTTTCATGTGAACAGTACCTACTATAGTGATGAGTCACTTAAGATTATTGTAGTAATCTTATTTGGTATTTCATCCAAATAAAAATATGTTTCTAGGACTAGGCCCTTAGCTATGAGCAGTGTAGTAATGCGTGGTGGAAGATACATTTCTTGATTAACCATCTCATTCCATACCATTTAAGATATTACAGGATCTCATCTGTAAATTCTAATTTATGTTTCATTCCTAGACAAATGCAGCACACAGCTAAGCTCAACAAAAAGTTACTTATGACTTTCATTAATGAGTTACTCCAGAGTTAAAATCAGATAGAAGGTTTTCACTTTTACGGTAAAAAAAAAAACCGAACACCAAATCTACTAAATAAGAGATGGCAAGGTTAGGTAGTAGTGTGTAATTTTTTAGGTCTTCTTCCTCTACAGCTAGGTACTGCCAATATGGGAAAGCCATAGAAACATAGTGGCAGCAACACTTATTTTATATTCTTATTCTTTACAAGCATGCCGTTATGACACTTTGTCATGGAAATGCTCAGAAAGTGTGACTGTATACAGTCATCTGCTCTAAGATGGCATATGGTGCAGTTTTAATGGAATGCTTAGGTACTCATCTCACTTTACCCCATCTTTGGCACACACAGAAATCTATAGACACATTAGCATATTCCTATCCTGTTCAGATACTCCTAATTGGCACAGATGAATTAAATATGCATATCTGTAGACACATGGCACATATGTAGTATATGGGAGAGAAACATCCTGTAAAGAAGGCAAAGCCTGTGTCACACAAGCTGCCCAGTTAAGATACATACTTCACTGGCACTTTACTGCTACAAAACCTATTAAATTGTAACAGCATTCAGGCACTGTGCCATCAAATCAGAAATGCATGAAGTGTAGGTGGCTAGATCATATGCATTTAATGCCATGATTCTCAGCTGGGAACATTAAATTGTATCTGTCTGTATATTCCATGCTTAAAATGAAGATTTGCCTTCTGCAATCTAGCTTTTAAGTTGCATCAAGATAATATCATGAACTAAACCAGTACCCATGTCCAATCAAAAGAATTCATGGTTCTCTGAATTGTGAATACAGAAAGCCATTAAACAGTCAAATCTTCTACTAGTTGCCATTGAGAAAACAGTATAAAGTAGTCCTGTTTCAGGGGTCTGTTGGGTGGATGAAAACTTCTGTGTAAGGTAACTTAAAATGGATTAAAAATCGATGGTTTTCTCCTTTTAAAACAAGTTTGCTCAAACTTGTCAAAACAGTAAGCACAACTGTTGAGAAAAAAAATGTCCCCTGAACCAAGCAGAAATCATACTTAAGTGTACTACCATTAGTTTTGTGATAAACTGAAATAAGCGTTTTATGTCAAGTGACTCTACAGTGAAGATTCTGGTATAAAAACACGTGAAATATATAAAAACTGTAAGGTGTCATTTGTATGTGCATGTAAGTATTTACAAATAATATCTTATTTCTACTGTACAAAACAACTGTGTATACTAAAGAGAAGAATGCTTTGCAATTAGAATGCATGCTCTGCTCTTCCAAGCTGCTCCGTGAGGAGGACCTCTGTACACACAAAGAATCTCTGCTTCCCTACAGATTCTGCAGAGAAGGGCCCTCCCTACACGGAGTATCTTCTTGTTTCTGTCAAGTAGCACATCATAGACTGGGTGGGCAAAAAGATGACCGTTTCCTGCAGCCAGCACATGCACCTATCTACAGTGTGGGCAAAGCAGTGCCTGTAACAGTCAGCACACTATGCCTGCAGTAAGGAGCAGCAGCTGCCTTGACATTTTGCTAGCCCAGGTTTCACTGGCATCTGCACAATATGTGCAACCTTGACCTGCAATGGCAGGTTTCCTAAACAGACTGCTACTGACTGCATCTTTATTTCTGCATGTCACATGGGCTTTGGAGTGCAAGGGTAGAATTCAACCCAACTACATATGGATTCCTCAAGTCATCAATGCTAGAACTCCTAATAACATTAGAGGGGGCAGATTTATCCAGAGCATGCTTAGTTCTCCTACAGAAACATACTAAGGTACATGAACAAAAATTCACAAAGGAGTTACAGCCTTGCATCTATTTTTTTTATACTTGATCCCAAAATAGAATTTTCACTTTGTCTTACCTAAGGAGAATTAGTTCACTCTATTCTAGCTTCTGAAAAACTGATTTGGCTCCTTTTTGCTGTATGCAAAAGGCCTCACAAAGTAAATTGTTATCTATGATACTAGCAGGTGTGCATTAAATAGAAATTACATAAAAGTAAGTATCTCCATAGAATTTAAAGTGAAAAGCTCAACTGAATTTTAAGCAAAGACAACAGAAGACTACAGAAGACATATGCATTACCATGCTCCCTGCAACACTACCAGAAACCCCAATAAACGTTCTACACTAGAACCATCACGCTTGCAATACCTAAGGCAACAATCACTTTATCCAGCACTAACAGGTCTTAGAAAAATAATGACCTGAACAATTATTTTGGTCAGACTGCTTATCTTCAGTATTGCATTACCTCTAATTTCATGGAAATATTTTATGATGTGACTTTAACTAATGAAAAATTCTGTAATGAATTCTAATCTCCAGGTAGTCACAAGAGATATAGAATGTAATTAAAGCTATATGTTATTTTTGTCTTATATACCTCCAACTAATCTTAAAAGGAAATGCCTACTATGAAAGGCAATAATTATGTCAAATTTTGCCTTTGTTGTGGTCTTCTAGTGAAATTTATTTGTTTCATAGACATCTACATTATTTTTAACTTCATTTTTTAGGGAGGGTTTATTAGAAGAAATGTAATCTGACCAGAAGATATTTTCCAAAATTAGCTAGTATCCCAAATTCCAGTCTTTAGGGAAACCACAGAAAAGTGCAATCACAAAGGCTGCGATGCTTTTAAGCAATATTAGCAGAATCTATTTAGAAGATTTTAAATTACCATTTTGAATCACCATGTTCTACATCTCTTGCTAAGGTAATTAATCTTCATTCACTGCAAAAGGACTGTTGCACACTCATGAGTGAGCTATACCTGGACCCATGAGAAACTTACCAAGAAAAAAGTAGTGGCCCAATAACCACTTTTCTAAATATATTTTCTATACAAAATATTTTCAAGGTATAATCCTTAGTTATTTGTACAGTACTCTATGGTTTAAACAACAATATCCAGTAAAATAGTAAGCGTGTGAAACTGCAACACCACATGGAATGAGCACTCTGCCATTTTGCTAGTGTAATCAATATTAGGACCAGAAAAATTTTCTAACACGCAAGCAAAAAATGTTCCATAGTTTTTGAATCTCGACTGTACACGTCATGATTTTGGCTATGATTTGCAGCACACTCGTAAGAAATATCTTATGCACATTTCAGTAGCAGAATGGCACTTGGCTTGCTCTAATAAAAACAACAGAGATGCAACTGACAATTTTAAGAAAGACAATGTCCTTATTTGCATGCTGAAAATCTGGTTGTGTCCCCCCCTAATCCAGGCACATCCATTCATTGTGCAATCTGTCGATGGGTAAACAAATAGTGCAGGATTCATCTCAGTGGGATCTGGCCCTTTGGTCTAACCGAAGTCAATTCTAGGTCGATACTGAAGTACCATAGGGTAAGACTGAAAACAAAAGCAAGAGAAAAACAACAACACACACAGACAAGAAAAAATGAAGACATAATTCATAAAAAATAATAGTAAAATGCAGTTAAAGATTGCCTTAACAGCCAGAGATTACCAGTGTGTATGACAATCAGTTTTATTTATATAAATTAACTCTATATATTACAACAGTTAAATTCCTACCCATAGTTCATAATCCATATTCAATCTCTAAGTCAGTCAGTTGTAGTTATTTGTAATTAATATAAAACTCCTGTATATGCTTTTATATATTTTGTGATTGTTTTGATTTTGAGACATGTACTCAGAGGGCTCAAACAACTGCTCTTCTTTCTGTGTTGCTGTGTTTGAGAAAAAGCAATCTTGAAATTTTATACTTTCTAAACCAAAGTCTATTAACAGATGATGTACCTGGTTTGATTTTAATAGATACACAGATTCATCGCTATACTAGTAGTCAGCACTAGTTAACGGGAGCCAGTATTAAAAAGAAAGATAAGAAAGGTCAAATAGCCGTCAGCTGATTTTCTGAGAGCTGAGGCTAACTTCTCCCACAAATCCAAATCTTCAACTTCAGATCTATTGATACATTTTTATTAGTTCTTACCAGAAAAAAAAAAAGGGGGGGGGGGGGGAGGGCAAATAAACTACTTGGATCCCTGAATTGGACAAAACTGTTGTGGAAGGGGAGGCAAGAATAGGTGGGCTTCCAGAAAACGCTCTGAGTGCTTGTTGCTGTGAAGTCCTCTTTTACTAAACGTCTTATTTTTTTCAGTCTGTTAGCATTTTACATAAATCTGCTGTTTTCCTATTAACTTCATTAGGGCACTGGATGTTTTCTATAGCATAAACCCCAGGAAAATCTTACTGTCTCAGCCACGAGGCAGAGGAGCATAGCTGATTTGAGTCTTTGTTATTGCAAACTTGGAAATATAAAAAATTGTTACAGAAGCTATCACTAAACCCAGAAATATTTTACTGCATCATACAAACGCAATACAGATGAACTCCAGTGACCAAAGAAAGATACATTGCAGAGACCTATACAGGTTTATAAAATTTCCATGCCGTGATAAATGATCACCAGAACTAAATGTGATCATGCTTGCTGGGGATTTACAAACTGGAGTGTAGAGAAATCACAACATAAACCCAAAGGTATTCATAATAGCAGGAGCATTTAGGACAGAAGACAGGGAGCACGACGTGCAGTCTGCATTTGCAATTAACAAACATATGATACTACAAATGTAGTATCATAAACTACTTGATCTCTGTTTTCCTGGCACTGCATGTGAAAACCACATCACTTAAATGCTATTTCACATTTTTCATTCTGATTATATGAAGTCTAAAAAGTACTAAATATATATAAAGTCTCTAAAAGTACTCACATTAATTGGAAGTGCACACAGGCACAGTCACATCAGTGAAATTGCCATGTAAACCAGTGAGGCTCAGTGTTTTTGCACACAAAATTACAGAACAACTATACAAGTAAAATGCTCCATGCTGGACAATTCTATTTATTGAAGTAGGCATGACTGCAGCAGGTCATTCCCATGATGAAGTGACCCTCCATCATTAACGTCAGCTTTTGGCTCAAGCAAAAATACTATTTCGAACTTCCAAAGTAACTTTTAGAAATTAGTTCAAATCAAAATTCTCAATGAGGAAACTGAAATACTGTTTCATATGGGTATGAACCAGACTGATTAATGAAATTTAGAAATCAACATCAGTCTGCAAGTTCTGAAGGTTTTGGTTTGCTACGTTCTAGAGATAAGGTGTTATTCATTTCTAATTTTAAAAGACGTGAAAGGAATACAGTATTAGAAAAATATAACATTTCTTCACTCTATTAAAAAGAACATATGAATTGCCATAAAGAGATGAAACCAGCATAGTCTCTTTTGACCCACACTCTTTAGTTTTGATCCCTTGTCAGTGCTGCCCAATGCTACTAGTAAGAAGGATGAAATAGAAGAGGCAGATAAACCTTCCAGGCTGATGGGGATATCAGCCTACAGAATGACATCTCTCTAATAAACAGACAAATGGCATTATGTAAAGTAAAAGAAATCCCTAAACCTTCTGAATGGGTTCTATTTATTCATTCAATAAAGCTTTCTCTGAAGGAACAAAATGCTCAGGCCTTGTTCAGAGAGTTTTAGCACTTTCTAGTAAGGAATTATAAAAACTCCACAACTTGGATTACAACTGAAGTGCTGACAGGACCTTAATGACTGTAGTATGTACAGTCGTGAGTGCCTCTTACCTGATAAAAAGTGCCATCCTGTGAGCAGACTTGCGAAGATGAGCAGTTCTGACACCGAAACTGCGAAGGAGATGATTTTCTGATCAGATAAGAGGCGTCCACAGCTGGACATACACATTCACCATTTAATGCTTTTTCTTTTTTTAAGTTTTCAAATGTAAAGCTTGAAATTAATTTACTTATTTAAAAAGGAAAGACCTCTCTAATGTATAAGTGGGTGTTTTCCCTTTGCTACGCCACCTCATGTAAGGTCCACAGGTACATCCCATGATGCAAGCTCATGGCGAATAGTACCAAAGATGGAGATAATGGAATTGATCTTCATCCAAAAGAAAAGATTGTTAATTAATTAAAACTTCTGTTTTGTAACAAGACCCAACACAGTTAAGGAAAACAAAATCATAGAAGCCCAGATGTTAATGGATTTATTACCAGTACAATGTCATTTGTACAGGTTTTATTCTGTCATCTCTTGATTTCAGGGGAGCGAGTTAATGTTGAAAGGAAAAGGTGTACACATACCTGGCTACGCTATGTGTATGTAAACACAACTTACAAATTTTATCAAGAGTTGTCAACTTTTATATTCAACTTCTGTTAGAAATGATAGTTCTGAGAATTTTTAAATATTTAAATAGCACAAATAACATCCTTTTTGTCAAGATGATAGTTACAGTTGCTTCCAAACCCATGCAACTCTCTAAAGTCCATCTGTAGGCAGAGGTGGCAGTATTACATGTCATGAAAGAATTCCATGATCACTAAAGTTGTTGCCTCAACGCTTCCCAATAGTACAGCCAATGCTAGCTAAAATACAAGAGGGCAAGCCAAACAAACACCCACTGGTTTCAATGCAGCATTGGAAAAAAATACTACTTCAAGCTCCATTATTGGTACAGTATTGGGGTTTCAGCAATTTCAGTGCAGTATTCCTTTCAGATTTAATGAATACTTGCCTATATGTATTAACTCCCCTAATTCCTATCAAAAATCTGTCCTCCTCCAGATTAAAGCAAAACTTTAAGAAACTTGGGAACTGTTAACTCTACAACGCGCTCAGTCCTCTGTCTTTTCTGTCTGTGCCCCAATGTTTTTTATTCTGAGTACTAGGAAGCTTAAAAAAAAAACCAAACAGGAAAACCCATTCAGCTATGTTATCTGGACGTTAGTGTTATGTTATCTGTATGTGAGTATTAACAGAAATAGTAACAAAAAATTAGATTTCACCAATAACATTTCAGTGTCACTTTACTGACTGAATAAAAGAGATTCTTAATAAAGAACTGCTGGATACAGATTCCCCAACTACTGGGGTTTAGTATTCCCTGACCTCAAAAGGTCACTAAATCCAAATTCAAATGCAGAAAAAGAACAAGTGCTTGGGTTTTCAGATACCTGACATAAAACTCTGAGCATAACTTCCACGTAAACTTGATCCCTTGTATAGTATACCTGCTATTTTTAAGTTTCAGAATCCACACAATATATGTGCTTCAGGGTTTCACTTGCAGGGTTTAACACAAGAAATCCAGAAAACATGCAAAATGCATTTTTAAATAAGGATTTTTTGAAGGATCACAGAATGTATTTTGGACCAAGCTGTGAAAGCACGTATACTTTCTATAATAAATATACCAAAACATCATTTAATAATGTAACACCATTTACGTTTTCGCCTCTTAGTCTCCATCTTGTCATATAGATGAATTCCATAGTATGATCCTTCCCCATGATCTCTCCATTGCATAGTACATCCAGCTTAAAATACAACAGAACAAGCAGTAAGACACAGGGACACAAAATTTTAATGCCTAAATGAACTCCTAAGTGAGTATCATTATACAGTAATTCCATTGAAAATCCGTATCAACTCTGAAGAAATACAACATACTGACAATATGCTATTTTGTACACTAGTATTCCATTTTATTTGCACTTCTAAGTTTTCAATTAAGTGTCAATAGAAGAAAGTCTGCTAAACTACACAGGAAATCAGTAGTAGATAAACACTCCCTGTATTTAGCAATACTACACAGTATCTGTTTGTAGAGAAGGCCTTGTGCTGTATTTTGAAGGCCTTCTTGATATGTCAACACTTTCATAACTAAAGATCTACAGAATTACTGTAGTTTTCACTAAAAAAAGGCAATATAAAAAAGTTATTTAAAAAGAACTATAAATGACAAAGAAAATACACTTCTGAGTATACAAATGTTACTCTTCATTAACTGAAGGCAAAATTAAAGTAAGGATCTTACTGTGGAAAATAAGCTTGACCTGTATTATAACATCTTACTTTTACCCTTCACTGAAAACATTTGACAATTCTTTCATTACTGTTGCCATAATGCTTTTCTGGTTTTTAGAGGAAAAAAAAAGTTCAAAATGCTGAAGTAAGCATATACTATGTAACACCATAGCCATTAAGGTGCCAAAGATGGATTAAATTAATATAATTAACAAAACCAAATAAAAGCAAAATGGCTGATCAGCATGTCATGAATCTGACGGACTCCTGCATGTAGCTCTCCAATAACCTGTGCGCCTGACCCAACTCAGCCCTACCTCTGACCAAAGCTGGGAGGCTGCCATTTGTGCTAAAGGCAGCCGGCAGTTTCTACAGTCATTGCCTCCTGTAAAAGAACTAGATGAAGAAATTGTGCTGAGGTCTAAATTCCTGCATCCCTGCAGAGGCAGGAGTCACACGCTTCCCAGCTCCACCATGCATTACAATTTCAACCATGTTAACACGTCCCCACAGGGAACAGCCTTGGCCAAAATCAAATCACTCATGCAGCAAAGTGCTTGATTCTCTCTCCATCAAATCCCAATTAATTCCAGAGAAGATGCAAAAAAGTATCTGCATTTAGAAAAATTCAAATGCTGTTATTCCTCATTTCTTCATAATTGTTGGATAGTTTCTTATATCTAAAGATAAATTGCAGAGTAGTTTTGTGTATGTCTTAATTGAGCTCTCCTTTACCTCAATAGCTACTAGCCCAAAACTGTATTAAGTGACTTTTTCATTACCCACATGGAAAGGGAAAGCATTTCTTTTTTGCAGAAAAATATCAAAACCTAATGTACGTGTCCCTTCACAGGTGAGCAACAAACTGAATTTACAAGAACTATATGAATTCACTAACTAGAAACTTCAGTCACTGCGATAAAATGATCACTTGTCATTTAAGGGCAGAAAATGTAACTTGGAATATTGAACAGTACTTAGTGATTGGGCTAAAAGAAATATTTCTCAAAATGTTCAAGTTTGAATATGATAAAGTTTCATAAAACCTTAATACTTTGCAGGGAAATAAAAATACAAGCATCATTCTTTCAAATGTACCTCATAAGAACTTGGAAGTTTTAATTTTAAGCTGAGAAACTTTTTGATAGTTCCCACAGTCACTCGAGTGGAACAGCGGATAAATTTCTTCATTAAACCCTACAGCAACAGCAACAAAACAGAAAAAACGGGTTAGAAGTTTTACTGCAAGAACAGCTGTAACTGATATTTTCCTCAACCAGTAACCAATTTTACTGCACTCTCCTCTAATTCATATTGGCACGAGAGGTTCATTTTTCTTTACTTTTTAGCAAAATGTACAAGATGACAAATTCATTTGACTCATCCAAAAAATACAGAAGGGAGGGAAAAAAACTCCAACAAACCACCCCACCAAAACCACCAAAAGGAAGAATTTAAATAATCTGTGTTAGTAACACTGGGGGTCAAACAGATGTGACATTTCTTAGAATTTCTTTAGTAGTCCCTGAGAGAAAAAGGAAGTAAAAACATCCTCAGATAATCTAGGTGAAATACAAGGAAGCTACAATTCTGAGAGAGCCTAGCAGTTTTGATTCAACAGGAGAGCTGGAAACCTGAGACTCCTACATGGCAATGGAGATACAGATTTCTTACTATTTAGCATAAACAGGGTGATAACATACATGTATATTTTCTTGCTGAATCAAAACTTTCTTACTAAGAAATTTCAAAATTATACATGTAACATAGCGCACAGAAAATGTAAGTAGTGTTTTATTAGACAAATTTTAAATATCTTTTATAATTCTTGTCTTTGTAATTTAATAATATTATATCAAAATCTAAGAGGATTTCTAAACACTTTCTTCTAGATTTGATACCATTAGGTAATCTTCCCTTCATGAATAGAGACCAAATACCCCTAATTCTTAAAACAGCAGTTAGCAGGTATTACTTTACACATTTTACAGATGGAAGTGACCTGTCCAAGGGCACAAAAGATCCAGATCCCAGTCATTCAGTGCACAACACATATGAAAAGCAGCTTCATGTTGACATGGGAAGAGAGCAGTCCTGAAAGTGTGGGGCAGCTCCCCTACAGCTAGCTTTTTAAGTACATCTGTGGTATGCTGTAATCAGTTGTGTAATGCAGTTATATACCATCAAGGCTGTAGACTACAAAACTATACTTCATAAAAAGAAAAAATAATCCATGGTCACCAATAGATTTCTGTATGGAACTGTATTTTTTGCAAAATTCTAAGATGCATTGAAATGCTTCAAACAAAAGAACTAAATAAGTGAGGAGGTAGAGACAGATCACCACATTAAGGTGTCTTATGAAAGGTTATAAAATTATTTGGTTCCTGCAAGATGCTATTCTGCAACAACAACAGCACAGATTATCTTTACCACTCACTTTGACAACATTATCTCCCGATTGCCCATTGTTTCGTAAACAGTCAAGGCAGATAGCAATCTGTGGGTCACTCCTGTGGTAGTCTTTATCTTCTTCATTTTCATCACACTCCTCGTCTACTTTGGGTTTATCAGCTTTTGGGCTTTCATCTGTAAAATATGAAGATCATATTATTAAAGTGCAAGACAATGAAAAGTCACAGTAGCAATAAACATATTTAAAGTGATACATCATTTTCAAGTGTGTATTTTTTTCTTCAAATTAACTTAATACAATTTTAATTCAGTGCATTCTTAAACCTACCAATTCACAGATCTCTGAAAACAGTTTTAGTATTGAAATTAATAGAATATGTGACAACAGATTTCTGTGTGTGACAGAAAATTATTAGGCTCATGGACCACTAATGATTATGGCTGTCTACTTCTGTTTGTGTCCAGTGATTAAAATCCCACAACTGAGCATGCATCAAGATCATTCAACCTACTCTATGGCGAAGCAGTTCACTGCCAAAAAATAATGCTTTTAAATACATAGTGGAATAACTAATCCCGACACTTCTATATCAAAATAACATGGCCAATCAATTCATATTTTCTATTTTACTTTATTCATTATTGTCTGTCACAATAATCCAGCAGAGACTGAAATGTTAAGTAAGCTAAAGAAGACAAAACTTAAATTTCATCCACTTTTGACCCCATCTAGGAAATGTCTTTGTAAGAACTCCAAGTGACCCTCTCCAGAAGGATTTTATAACTAAATAGCCATACACATACTTATTCCCCTGTATAAACAAAAATAAGAGGAATGGTCTCCATGTTTTTCAGCAGGGCACACGTAGCCTATATAATCACATATATATACACCATGTTATCTCTTCACTGATGCTGTTACGTGCTCTATTGATTCCTGGTTTAGAAATCTAACTCTTTAGCAAAATGCAATCTCCTACAGTTTTCAAAGGTGTAGCACAGTTAAACACTTGAATGCTGAGACTAGCTCGTACAGCTAGATAAGGCTGCAATGTATGTAAGTAATAACCATAAAATGAGCCATAAAATGGAGTAATTTTTACAGATTTGGAATACAGTATACAATAACCCTATTAAATACATTTGTGGTTTTCTGTATCCCCAACTTATTTATCTTGATTTAATACAGAGGCTGCTCTCTGTCAGAATAAAATATTATCACAAGTAACTTGAATAAGCTACTTTTGCATTTCCTGAAAACCTTCCAGATCAGATTCTGTTTTTTTTTTTTTACATTTACCACAAACTTCTAAAGTTATTTAGTAGAGTTAGAATGAGAAGAGAGAATTAAAACTTTAACAAGTACCAAGCCATGCCTAAGTTCCTAGACACAGTGATTAGTTCATTTTGTTCAGTTTACATATTCAAGATGAGATTTAAGCTACGGTTATTTCTTTCCTTGCATACAATTTTGGAGTATTTTATAATTGGAAAAGATTTGTCCACATGTCCCTACTAGCTATTGACAGAGTTAGCTGAATATGTATCATACATATATTTTGTTCCTATCACCTTGTTATGAATAGAATTTACAGTATCAAACTATAGATATATTATTTTTTTCTTTTTGTGAAAAAAGAAACTCTTTTAATCAAGCAGGCACAGTCTACCTGCCACAAGCATTTGTCTTGGGAGTCTGTCTATGATTCACAGATCCTTCAGCAATGCAAACACACCCACAACTTTAAACAGTTATCGCTGCTGAGTAACAGAGGAAGATTTAGTTACGCACTTTAAAATGTCTTGAAAGGCAAAGCAACTACAGAAAGCTGTAGAGAAAACAGAAAACGAGGGAAACTAGCAAATACCCAACTACAAAATCATTCCAGACAAAGATTCCACAAAAAAAATCTCATTTTTCAAAGTATTCTAACAGAAATTCAAATGCTCCTCCAAGTAAATGGCACCAGCCTATTTACTAAAAAAATCCCTGTAGATACTAGAATTAATGATGTTTGTACAGGCAGCCTCAAGGAATTAATGTGATGGTCTTTTAGAGGCATGTTATTAGAATTCAATATGATTTAAAAGAAAACAAAAACAAAAAAAAACCAAGAAAATGAGAAGTTTGGATCTCACCAAAATGGACTTGGTGATTTCCAAGTCAAAAACATCAAGCCAAGAACAGAAGGCAGAACAAAACAAACACCCACCCTCCCCCCCCCCCCCCCTTTCTGTAAGGAGTAAACTGGTGTCTCATTTTTTAATCTCACCTTTCTTGCAAATCTTGGAAATTGTCTATTTCCTGTTCTTTTCCTTGAAATTTAATAGAAAACTGATTGCCAGAGAGTGACTCAATGTAAAGCTGTTTGCCCTCTTCCTTTTCCAGTTCAGACTGGAGTGGCCCAATACAGATTTTTCTTCTCTGAATCACAGTATGTTTCCTGTCATCACCCATCAATTCTCTCTGGTAACCAATCTCCTAGTGGAGTCACCAATGCCTGAGATATGCTGTTGTCTGAGGGTTTTTTTCTTTTGAGATGTGAAAATTTTATGCCCTGCAATTTTTTTACAGATCCTGGATGCTAAGGTTGGGAACTGTGTCGTGACCTGCGGATTCTTTTGAACTGACTATATGACTGCAGGGCATGGTATTGATAACTGAAACAGTCCCATCTTACTGAAATTATTCTCAAGCAAGATTCTAAATGCTTTTTTTATGGCAGAAAATAGTTTAAATGCTCATAATTTGTCTCATGACTTTTGAATGGTTTGCAGAGTCAAATTTCCATAGCCCAAGGATACAGTCACTAACAGAGCTGGATACATCTGTAGCTACTTAAAAGTACATTTTGAGAGTTAGACCAGCCTTCTGATTCACCAAAGAATCCAGTCACACATTACACTGAGTAACTGATTGCCATTAGGTTTGCCATTGAGTTACGAGAGAAGGGTAAGGACAAGAAGAATAAAGAGGTCACATTCTACAGATTTGAAAATTATATATTTTTTTATATATATATACAGCAGAAATACTTTTCTGAACAGTCAAAAAATGTCTATATTTCATAAAAATATTTGTAAGTATTTTAAAAAAAGAATAGGTATACACTATACGGTATGTTGCAGTATACTAAAAAAAATATCATATGAATTGTGCTGCAGTTCTTCATTTAATAACAGAGAAAAGAACCTTGTCCCTTATAATGGATGCCAAATGCAAATCAACAGAATTAGTGAGAAAGAAAATTAAAAGTTATTAAGTTGAAAAGAAGATATTATAAACAATTGAATGCAGAAGAGTATTGCAAGACATTTACTTGACAGTGATCCTTTACTAAAAATAGCTATAGCTTAGCAGAGACTTTCAAAAGTTCTTTAAAATGTCTGAACCAAACAGACTATGGTTTCAAAATCCTAATGTCAAATTAAACAGACATAAAACCAGTTGAGTGTAGTCCTCACTTAGCACCTCGATAATCAGCTCCAAAAGTGCATAGGTGAACTACCAAAAAAAAAAAAAATAAAAAGGAAAAAGAAAAGAAGACATTAGAAAAAAACCCAAACATTTTGGAATCTATATAAAACAATTGTTTAGCATGTGTGGAAAGCTGTTTTACTACTTGTCATAACTAATTCTTGACAACCTCCTACTTAACAGCTGGTCAAAGTCAGTAACAAAATAATCTGTAAAAAACTCAAGTAGTTCTGCATCTTGCTGTATTAAGAAAAGTAAGAATTCAAATGTAAAATCTCGTGAGTGTGGAAAGTGAGAGCTTAGGGAGATGCAATTAAAATTATGGTAGAACAGGTAATGTTTGTAAAACAAGTGGTTAATAGATAAGCAGCAGTACATGAAGGCCCAGCCTACGTTTATGCAGATTTGTTACAAGTTTCTGTAGTATCTTTTGTAAAAACAATGTACATGTGTAACTGTTTAAAGAAAAAGGGCGTAATCATCAATGTTACTTAACACACAGATGAGAGAGAAAAAATAAAAAAAAATCATCACCTTGTCCATTTTCTTGAGGTTTATTTTTCTTCCAAAATTCGATCTCCCGCTGCAGTTCCTCTAGTTAACATCAAAGAACAGTCATGTGAATTTTTAAACCAATACTACAGGTATATCACGAGAATTGACCATATGCCCTCCATCAACCCAAACAGGTAGCCCAAAACCAAATGAAAAACTTACGTTCCCGAAGTCCAGGCACCAGCTTAAATATAATTTCCTCTAAGGTGTTATCGAGCCTTTCAAAGGGAAAAAATACATTTCACATTAAGTAGAAACCAGCATTTTATATATTTTCAGCCATTAAATAACAGAAACTTCTGAATAATGAACTGCATATTTCTCTTAAAAATGTATCCTCAAAAAATCAGCTGATTTTAGCTTGAGAGACAACATCTCAACCACCTATCTCAACCACCTCCTGAATGGATTTCTTTTAGAATTAACCAAGGAATTTATTTTTTAATGTATAAAGACAAAAAAAAACAACCCCCCCCAAAAACATTATACTCTAAAGTTTTCATTATTTTAATTTTTGTTACATGCAAACAATTGTGTTACTAAAAGGAACAAACTTGAAAAAAAGTATGTAATTTTAAGGTCCAGATTATGAGTAATAAGCATGAAAACTGTAAACTCCAAGATCATATTAAGCGTTCAAGTGCTTTGGTAATAAGGCTGTTATGAAAAACTGAACAGACTATTGACTACTCATTACAACACAGACAAACCAGTCTTGGCAGGAGAAAGGGGACCACAGAGCATCCATGCTGCTCTGGCTAGACAGCTCTCAGTGCCCAACATAATTCATTTAAACTATTTAAATCTGCCATGAACTTGTCTACCAGATGACAGAACGCAGCACAGGCATGTCCTCTGTTACCCTGATATTAGTGCCAAAAACAGCTATTACAGTCCCTTCCAGAGGACATGGTGCATTTTCCTTTGTTGCTGAGGCTAAAATATTTTGCTTCCTTTTTCTCTGAATTTTACCTACTCTCCTATCCTTTTAATTTATCATCCGCTTTCTAGTTCCACTTCCTTTCCTTGTCTCACTTATCATCTGGTTTCCTCTGTCTTACTCTTTTTCATTTCTCTCCTCTGCCCTCTTCATCTTCTCTTGTGAACAGTACCTCCCACTGTCCACAGCCTAAACAAAAACCCAGGACAAAACCAAGTACTAAGCAATATGGCCAGAGAAATTAAGTTATTTTGATACACAGTCAGAAGCTACAATACAATAATTGACTTTGTTATATCTTTGATTCCCTTAATTTTTAATCTCAGCAATGAGATATCTATGCACACGCTTGCACATATACAGATATGTATGTGTACATGTTATTAATAATACACTATTTGCCTGTTAAAAAACATATGACTGTTCTCTAGCTTTTGTTCACTGGCAGTGGCAAAATAGGAAGACTGAATGATTTTATTGTTGAGGAATGCCTAAAAGCCATTTTAGTAGACAAGAGTTCTCTTCTTATACCAAATATACAAGCAGTACAGGTTCTCCTTCTTTACAGAATTTGCTTTTGTAATTGAAAGTTTACAATCAGACCTATTACCCAGTTACCTTGTTCTGAGAGTAGCTTCCTGTGTTATCTGTTAGTTCATAAAGACAGTCATACCATAAGAATATTAATGTTTAAGCTACAAACACAATGCATTTCTAATTGCTTCTTCTTATAAGTACCCCCAAAAATAAAAATAAAAATAAAAAAAAAATCTTTGGCAAGTGAAACAGGCCTCCCCTAAAACGAAGAAGCATAGACAGTAATTTCTCACAGGTAAGGGTACCAAAACCATGGGATGTCTGTGCACTCAGTTTCTGATAGAGAACAATATAGGTCTAGCTTTCCAAACGGTATGTTACCTCTTCTAGCACCTCTAATCAATATCATAGAATCATAGAATAGTTAGGGTTGGAAAGAACCTTAAGATCATTTAGTTCCACCCCCTTGCCATAGGCAGGGACACCTCACACTAAACCATCTCACCCAAGGCTCTGTCCAACCTGGCCTTGAACACTACCAGGGATGGAGCATTCACAGCTTCCAGTGCCTCACCACCCTTACAGTAAAAAACTTCTTCCTTATATCCAATCTAAACTTCCCCTGTTTAAGTTTTAACCCATTACCCCTTGTCCTATCACTACAGTCCCTAGTGAAGAGTCCCTCTCCAGCATCTAATGCAACTAGAGGGTACTGCTTTCTATGAAGTTCCTGCAGTAGAGCACTGGGAACCTGTCTTGGAAATGGGATTAATTTCACACTGTAAGAAAGCTCTACTCTTCATAACTTACTCATTAAGAGAAAAGAAATAAGAAGAGAACAACACCAATTTAATTAAAAATCCCACTAACTATTCCTCAAGATGGCATAATACATGCTGGGTTTTCTACATTTATTTTTAAAATTCCCTTTTAGCACTTTCTAATTTGTCTTCAATGCCCCAAACCAAAAGTCTCTAGTAATGCTAACATAGCAAGAAAACCACTATACTTAACAAATCAACAATGCTAGCAGCAAGAACTGGCTTGATGTGCTATAGTCAATAACTTCATTTTCTTTCAAAACTAAACAAAAAGAGCTATTTATCCTTATGGAACAATACTACTAATCAATACTTTAAAAATTTAGGAAAAAACCCCACTTATCTGATTTTTAAGTACAGGAAAACTCAAAGGATAGGGGAAAATAATAGGAAATTATAAAATGAATCTTAATTTTAGATGCATCTTACAGTGTTCCTATTATCCACTCCTATCAGGACTCTAAACAAAAGATTTGTATTTCTGTGACTTGCATCAAATCCATTCCAAAATGAAACTACTTGACATAACTCCAAACACAGTCTCAGTCATTTAGTATGATACTTCCTGTTAATGCCGAAACATTAACATTTTAGACATGCTTCTTTGCACGCTCACATCTTCCAACCTCCAAACTTCTCTTATTCACCCCTTCTATAATACTGAATGAGTTATAAGATCAAAGCCATTCCCTGATAAATGTTAATTATCTGAAGTGAGGCAAATGAAGACTATCACTCAAGAAAACTTGCTTTCCAAGAAGCGTGCTACCAAGAAAAAAAAACAGCCTGCATTCATGGCAGACCACTGCAGACCCTAGTGAATACTAATGATTCAGAATTCTGCTAAATCAGGAAGGGGAATTCTACAATTTAGCACTCTTCCTAGATTTTTATTTTGGAGCTCAATGTCGGATTTCAGACTTTGGCTTATTGTTTCAACATTCCTAATTGCTGCCAATGGAAAGATACATCTAAAAACCTCACATAGTTATGAAGTTATTCAGAACTGAGTTTATAAAGTGGTTTATATAGTTTATCTGAAAGATTTCAGTTAAAAATACTATCTAGAGTGTTCAACACCATTTCTCAGAAAATGACTGCATTCTTGAGCAATGATGGGGCTGGCCTCTACAGTCAGAGTGTAAGACGTATTAAGTTAGGCAGGCAACATCCAAAAAAGATAATTCCATTACACTGTTCATGTGCTTTTCTGATTATTAGTTTAGCAAATGTTGAAAACTGTTTCATAAAATACAACCAAACTCCTTGCTATATGCAGTTTGCTGGCAAATAAACACGGTGACTCTAAAAGGAGTTTCAGGAAATAATTGCAGAGAAAATAGCTCTTCCCACATTTCTGTCTTGTGGTCTCAACTTTTCTCACCCTCCTATCATTTCCTGCTTAGAGCATAGTATTAATTTAGTAAACATCTACTAGAGGCTTCAGAAAATTTATTTTTTTAGATTCTATGAAATGGTCCTATCAGAATAAAAGAAATATTTCTAAAATGCTTTTATTTTCAGCCTTATGCACTCTACATAGAATCTTCTATTACAACTGACCCAGCAGCCCAGACACTGACAGATCAGAATAGTACTTAAGGTAAACATCTACATAAACCCTTTTAGCCCTACCCTTCTAAAAAATATTCAGATGGTAAAGACTTAAGCTAATAACACCCTTTAAAGCTGTTGTATTTAATCTCTCTCACCTACCCTCTCGGTACATAACTGAAGTACGGGAATTGCCATGCACACATGTATCAGTCAAAAAGCAAAATATGATAAATTGTAACAAACACAATATGTAAATATTTATTGCAACATTGATGTAAGGATATTTCTTCCTAAGTTCCCAACAGTATTACAAACTAATAAAATCGGGGGAGGGACTGCTGGGAGCGAGGGCAGGGAGGGGCTTCATCATTGTAGGAAAATATCTATTTCTTCCACTTACGATGACATTTCTCAGTTTCTCTGTACTATACTTGTAGCAAATACAGTTTCAATATAACATGGCAAAGTTTGTTTCAATATAAAAAAGTACAGTTTGTTTCAATATAACATGGTGAAAAGAGAATCTAGAATTTCAAGAAAAATAATTGTTTAAAAAAAGCAATGTGTTATTGTGACATAAAAAATGCAAACTCTCAAGAAAAGGTACTTTTGGTGTCAGAATTTTCTTTCATGAGTGTCTTTTCATTAATCTGACAGCAGATTTCAATTCAGATTGGTAGGTCTACACACTGGAAAGCATTCAGTTATTTGCATGATTCATTTTCTATATTGCTCTATGAATTAAAAAAAAGCTGCACAGTTTGGAATGCCCTAAATTGTTTGAAAAAAGAAATTCTAGAACTTAATTTCATGTAAAGAATAAAAGGCATCTGGTTTATTTGTTTGAGGCATTAAATAATTAAATAATAAAATTAAACTTGCACAATACACCCAGTCTTTCTGCATTACTCCATTATCTTTCCTCCTTTTATTATATCTGAAAAGTTAATTTACCTTTTACCAGGAGATAAGAAATTGGTAGTATCTATGGCCAAGAACAGTTGATATATGTATTATACAAAGAAGCAAAAAAAAATTTATTTCCTTTCAGGATAAAAATATTAAGATTATTTTTTATTTTTTGTTCTTCCATTTCAGCAAATGCTGTGCAATGTCATCTTACCTTAACATTTCTAGTGGATTAGTCTCATGCACTTGGTTGCCACACCTGGGGCAGTCATTGCTGTCTTCAAAGTGTTGAACGATGCAAGTCTTACAAACTGAAGAACAGAAGAGAAAAAACGGCAAAACCAACTTAGTGTAAGATCTGAATAACATTGCTTGAGCATGACCTAATGATACCAGCTAACTACTTCATGCATCAGAGTATTATTTTAAAGCAAATAAGGAATGCATTCTATCCACTTCTTCCTCAAAGTTGTAGCTAGTTCTGCTCTGCCAACACACTGAGTTCAGCAGCACAGGTTAAGCAAGTGCTGCTTCAAAGTATGCAAGATTTTTACTACTTAAAATTCTCCCAGCACCGTAAAATGCAAACCCCATACCATACAGCACATCTAAAGAGCAGGTTCTGAGAAAGTGCATGCTGGGTTGCTCTAGCCCATCAAAGCCAACCATCACTTCAGATGATTTGAGAATGACTTAGGCACATTGTTTTCTTTCCAGCAGTGTTGCTGGCAGCTAAAAATACTGTTGTAAATACTCACTGTAAGATAAAGGTTCACGGAAATTGTACACAGGTTCAAAGCAGCTATGTTTCCCTTTTGACATAGCGCCTTCAAAAGCTCTGACAGAACTTACAGGGAACATTTAATAATTGAATCTTGCAATGAAAAATCAGGATCATAACCATGGCAGGTATAAACAAACCCAAAACAACAACAGTGTGAATTTAAAATCCGATAAACTGAAATTAAACCAAACAAGGTGCTACACTTCTGTTGTTTCTAAATGATTAACTGCAGACTGATGACTTTAATGCCATTAATAAGAAAATAGAAGCCAAGCCGAGGACAACAAATATGCCTGCTATTATTACTGCATTACAACATTCTGCATGGAGATAAACTCCATCCTCTGTTTATTATTACTTCACCTAAACTGAGAACTGCAAATTCATCAGTAAATGGACTGAAAAAATAAATGGACTGCTGCAATTACAATATGCTTTCTGCTGAAACACTGCAATTTCTTTCATCAATTACCTAATGAACTAAGAGTACCTCTAAACATGCTGGTAAATCCTAATTATATGAAAATCTTTACGGAATCTTGACATTCCTTTAACAAGTGTCACCTAACAAGCAAAGCCTGCATTTATCTTTTCTCAGAAGCGTTAGTGCAACTCAGCTGACACTGATAATACACATACATTAAACCTCTGTGCAGATTTTTTTTCCAACTCCTTTAAAACATAAACTTAAGGATGTTAACTTCATAGGTTTGGCTGAAATTACATGAACTTTTCCCTTTAAGTTAGACAGACAGATTTCAGAGCTCTCTGGCTGGCTCTTGGCACCTTCCCCAACCTAAATGGCTCTAGTAGAGCTAGATGCAGGGCAGATTTCCGATGATCTGGTAAAACAAGCTCAGGAAGCTCCTGAGTCCTGCCAAACAATCCCAGTAAGCGGGCGCATTGCAGTCCTCTGCACATAGGGCCCTCTAGAACAGCCAAGGATGCTGATGCTGTGAGAGTGCCATTTAACCCTCATTTTTTTCTTGACCTAAAGTTGTGAGGTATTTAGCACTGTCACACAAACGCAAGAATCTGTAATTACAGAACTCATATCACAGATCTTTTATAATTTGTTAAAATACTAGACTTAATTGATTCTTGCACATGCATTCCCTAACACTTCCACAGGGTAAGAAGCAAATGTGATGTTCCGTATCTACATGGTTTCTTCCTTTTTCCATATACTTTCTATAACTAATACTAAAACTGAACATTTTGCTACTACACTTACAGAACATAAAGAACTTCATCACCCATAGAGAAGCCTTCGTGCCAGGCCAAAGAAGCACTTCGGAACATGCTTAAATTAAAGCACAAGTCCAAATAACTTAAAAAAAAAAAAAAGTAGTAAAGATTTCTATAATCTCTCCTCACTAATATGATCATGAATTTCCTCTATAACTGAAAATAACTTAAGTTATCCTTGAAATTGAAAATACATGAAGATTCTCAGATCACAGTTTTCCTGAAGATGTAGCATTTGCACATGTTTAACCCAGGGGCAAACATCACAAGGTGGAATTATTCAGCTGATCAGTAGCTCCTCAGCCATCCCAGCTCCCATAAGTATTTGAACTATCTTTCCTTCTTTCACCTACTTGAAATACAAAGAAGCACAGGGAGCAACTGAAGGCATAGTTCAGTTCTGTGAGTAATCAAACACTAGCCACACACATGCAGTGATAAAGCCTACCATATCCTGGGCTGCATCAAAAGGAGCATGATCAGCAGGTCGAACAAAGGAGAAGGAGGTGATCCTGCCCCTCTACTCTGCTCTCATGAGACCTCACTTGGAGTATTGTGTACAGTTCTGGTGTCCTCAACATAAAAAGGACATGGAACTGTTGGAACAAGTCCAGACGAGGGCCACGAGGATGATCAGGGGACTGGAGCACCTCCCATATGAAGACAGGCTGAGAAAGTTGGGGCTGTTCAGCCTGGAGAAGAGAAGGCTGCCTGGAGACCTCATAGCAGCCTTCCAGTATCTGAAGGGGGCCTATAGGGATGCTGGGGAGAGACTCTTCATTAGGGACTGTAGTGATAGGACAAGAGGTAATGGGTTAAAACTTAAACAGGGGGAGTTTAGATTGGATATAAGGAAGTTCTTTACTGTGAGGGTGGTGAGGCACTGGAATGGGCTGCTCAAGGAACTTGTGAATGCTCCATCCGTGGCGGTGTTCAAGGCCAGGCTGGACGGAGCCTTGGGTGACATGGTTTAGGGTGAGGTGTCCCTGCCCATGGCAGGGGGGTTGGAACTTGAATGACCTTAAGGTCCTTTCCAACCCTAACTATTCTATGATTCTATGAAAAAGCCCTCTCACCTGTATCTAGATGGGTGCATGCTTGGCTAGGAAGTCTCACAAGTGTGTCTCAGAGTCATAGATGAAGAAGCAGCATCACTTCCCCAAAGTTACACTTTTTGAACAGGCATTTTTATAAGACATAATGCTATGTAAAAACATGTACTAAGGAACAAATAGAAACTCTACAGGTGTCCAGACCTGAGTTACTTGCAAAGAGTCACCAACACCGTTCAAGTGCTCAGACAGAATTTGATTAAGTGGTCAAACAACATATTGTAATATTCTCCAAAAGTGCCCTTGCTTATTTTCAAACTCTAATTATGGTACCTTTACTTTTTTGATACTACCAGTAGTCCTGAAGATTGTCCAAAAGAAAACAAAAAAAACAAGCCTCCATCTAAATCAAGAGCATGCCACATCACTGAATTCGACAAAACCCAACAGGCAGTAAGACCAATTAATATGAAATTCAGATACAGTGCTCATCAGAAAGCTATGATGAAGTGAACTTTTCTTTTCAAAATAGGCCATCACAGTATCATGTCATTAATTTATCTTGCTTTTCTTGAGAAGTGAAAAGTGAGCCAAAGTGAGTAAAAGGTCCTACTCTAAACACGACAGAGAGATCAAAATAGCAGACAATGTGACCAAACCCAGGCTCTTTAAATATTGCTATGAATGGGAGTAGTTAACATTGTTGAAAATGGGAGTAGTTAACATCGTTAAAAACTGTACCTTTCCCATTCATTAACAGAGATGTCTTCTTTCTACTTATTAAAAGAAAAAACAAAAAACAAAGACAAAACAACAACCCCAGGACATTTTTAAGGCATGATTCTTCTACAGTATTGAAGTAGAGAAAATTAAAGCAATTAAATGTAAAGATACTAGATCTGTGTGAAGTAAACCAAAGGACTAAATAGGATTAATTTATTCAATCAGATACAGCAAAAGTCTGAGAGTCCTAGAATAAGCACTTCCTGGATGACTTCAGTGAGAATGTAAATAACTATATTCTGCTCAAGCTTCTCAAGGAATCTGTAAAATATGCTATTGACACTTGAGCTCTTCAACTGTAGCATTTGATATCTCATAATCCTGGTATCTATATTGTGCTGAAGGGGGAGATGATACACTACTTCTGTCAGGAGAAAGAGTGCAGATTAGTGATGGGTGATTACAACACTGATGAGAACCACAAGGTTAAGAATCATCTGCTATCTCAGAAATACCATTAGTTGGAGAATCTCAGTTTAAAGACCATAAGGGAAAAGGTCTGGGAAGCTAGTATGATGATGAAATTGTGAAGTCTAATACAGTTGTGAATAATGGCCACATGGAAATTCATCTGAAAGTCACTGACGTTAGTAACAAAAGGATTTGGTATACTCTACACCTTTTCTGACTTGACTTCATAGAAACTGTGCTTAGGGATAACTCTTTTTCAATGGAGAGCTGCAAGGGAGATAAAGTTCCTCTTCTGCTAACTCCTATAATAAAGGAAGGAGTTGGTCTTTAATTTTTTTTTCTGTTGTTGTAAACATCTTGTCTGGTATAAACAGCGGCATCTTTATTAGGTCAGTCTTTCTAATCTGACACCAATTTTAATAGAATTATAAAAAGAAAAGAAATGGAAAAATGGCATAAATGCAATTGGCATTGGTCAATATTAATTTGGGAACTGATAGGCCTAACTACTGATCTTAGTTGGGAAATTTTTAGCAATGGAGACTCTGAGATGATTCACACAAAATTTTTTCAAAAGGATTACCAGAGAGGTTCCTTTCTGTAAGCAATCAATACTAGCCTCCTTCCAAAAGGACCTCCCTGTGTTTTAAGGAAGCTATGCCTAAAATTCTTTGAAGAGAATTTAATTCCCTTTACTTGCTCTTGGGATCTCTGTTCCATACACATAAGAGAAGTTCTCGTAGACTGTGACAATGAGATGACACTGATCTGACTGCTTTGAAAAGGACTGAGCTGAATGGTAAGGTATTTTAAATTTGGCTTTGCTAGGCTTTTTGTTTTTCAAAGTAAAGACAAATAGGATCTACCTGAACTATGGCTTTAATTTACTGTATGAAATTTGTTACTATTCAGAAGAACTCTGTGCCACAGGACAGATAACTGACATACTTATTTGAAGTCAGAGGACTGACTCCCCAAAACCTCCCAAATACTAAATGCTGCCAAACATAAAGCCTGCTAAAATCCACGGTAA